CTTCACAGCTTTCAGACTCTGGATTTGTGATCCTTTTTGGTAATTTTAAAGAAGAACGAGAATGCCTGACATTCAATGTCCTTTAACGCTCTTCAAATGAAAACTGTGGCCTTACGCTTAGTTCTATCTGGCACTTCTCCCATCATAACAGCAATCTGATTTTTTCCCAAATCCACAGTTCTGATTTAATACTGTGAGGGTCAGCCTTGACTGAGCTTGTACGAAGTAGAAGGAGGCTGATGCACTCCACCAATTTTGCAGAGATTTTAATTCACTCCCAGCTGTCTGCCATCCCTCCTTCTCCCACAGTATGATAGAAACGTGAATTGCACAATTAGGCTGTCATTAGGAAGAGATGAACTTTGCTCTGGAAATTTGTAACCCATTATTCCAAGATTAGTGACTTCAGACGGGGGATTGAAGAACCCCCCCCTCCTTTTCCAACAGAAGGCCAGGCAGTTGCAGCATTCAGCCACTAAAAACAAAGAAACCCCAGTGTCCTGCTATGGCTGCTTGCCTTGGGATTGTGTTTCGTGGAGCAGTAGGCGCTGCTGTGTCAAGCTGCTTGGCGCAATCCAATCTTTCACTCCAGCAGGTCATCTCAGCAACGCTGCTGGAAACCATTAGTTGCCATTAGCATATAAACTAGTTTCTGCTCCGAGAGGAGGGGACAAGATTATATTCAGTGGAGCTTTTAATCAGCTGCTGTTGGTGTAGCTCTGAAGGCGGCAGTCTGTGTGCTGTGCACCAGGCCTGCAGGAATGAATATAGCTGTGATGAGAAACAAAATAGAAAGTGTTTGTCGGGGGAAACCCAAGCATGTTTCATTGCATGGTGAAGAATTATGAGCGTAACTGAATGGCTTTCCTCCACAAAACAGAATAGCACGATTGTAGCTACGCTCTCTCGAGATCAGGGAGAGAGGAGAAGCTGTCAGACGTGACTACATCAGTTGCTTTTCTTTTTCACCCCCCTTGGTAGAAAAGCTTGGCAAACAGCAGTGCAAAGCCTAATGCTTCTGCATGGAAACTGGTCTCACATGCAAATATTTGAGTGATCTCTGCTAGGAACTGAAAATATAGCAGTTTAAGAGGATCATCAAGAGTTGATAAAGCGACTTGTTTCATTTTTTCCCCCTCTAGTATCACATCCTTATTCATATTTTAATTGTCCTGGCAAATTCAATTAACTCAAGTAATGAAGATCTGCATGGTATGCGTAAAGATTCAACTTTGGTGACCTGTGTAGGGCGCTGGCATTGTTCCACAGAATACTGTTTGATCAATTCAACTTTATTCTTTTTTTTTAAATTTGAGAAGCTAAGTGTGGCTGTCTTGTCAATTAAAAAAAAATAAAAAAATAAAAATGAAGACCTCAGGAGTAACCAGACAGAAGCTAGGAAATGCTCAAAAACCTTGAGAACCGTGCTCCAGCCCCTTGGCTGGTGTACGCCTTGAGATGATGTGCAGCTTCATGGCTATGTGCATTTTTGGCAGAGGACAGGCCTGATCTGGAGCTATCAGGGGTTGCTAAATTTCTTCTGTGGATATTAACAAGGTACAAAGAAGCAAGACAATTGCTGTCAAACTCTGGTGACTTGTCGGCTTCCTTAACCTTTCCCATTGACTTTTGGGCCCCTGTGTAATGAATTAAAACATGCTAATAAGCTTTTCTGAAGCAGTCCATGAACCTGCAACTGTTAGGCTGGTGTGCTGATAGCGAGCTGGTAAAGCAGAATTTCTCAGCTGTGGTATATATCATAATAAAATGGCATGTTGCTTCTGCCTGAGAGGACTGAACACCACATCCTGAGTGCATGTGGCTTGCAGTACGCAGGCCAGAACAGCTACAGGGTCCTCCTGGGATAAAGGCTAGTGGAAGAGATGAACTGCTTAATGCTCACTAATGCCAGGCAAAATGTCTTGGCTTTAAAACAAAACCAGACCTGTAGGATCATTTTGGTTTGCTTTTCAGATTTTTTTTTCCAGGTTTTTCCTTTAGTCCAAGATTAAAAACCATCTTTATCAGCCCCAGGTAATCATGTGTTTCCAAGGACTCAGACTTGATTGCTAACTCTGCGCTAACTCCTCGTCACCAAATCTATTTTACACCTTTCTCATCATCTGAAAGTCTTGCACAGAGTGCGGGTTTTACAGGAAATCCCACATGGCTTGCTGGAGAAAGTCTTGCCCAGTCAGGGGATTTGAAGAGACCCAACTGGCACTCTGCAGTTCTTGTTTCTATTACCTCATCTTACCCTTACACCACAAATTTCTTGTGGTAGAAAAAGGATCTTTAGAAACCAGAAATGAACTATTTTTAAAGCAAGCTACTAAAGCAGCTATATGGAGGGGGGAATTCTGCTCTTCTTGACTGTTTGATACTAGTGATGGCTTCATATTGGCAAACCTCAAAAGCAAACTGTTGGGCTGGCAGGCTGTCTTACCCTGGAAGAATAAGCAAGTTTGAGAGAGGCTGGAGATGGCAGCATGTTTTCTAGTTCATTTTTCCCTTCTGTTGAGCCTCCTTGTGATGGCCTCAGCCACTGTAGAAACCTTTGCTCCATTTATGCAACTGCTTGGTACAAGCTCAGCCTTGGCCACCCAAACCTGAGTATACCTGCCTACCTGTTGGACTTCACAGTTGTCACAATATCTTTGCATTTTCCAGATGCTGAAATCAACAGTGGTTTCTTCAGCAGATGCTCCAGGGTATCTGAGTTCTGAGGGTCCATAGTTTAAATATTTTAAATTAAAATTAAAATTAAAATTTTCTTTTCCTATTTCATATTTTTTGTATTTAGTCTTAACAACCCTCTTCTCGTCTGCCTCCATCTTGCTGCCAACCTGTGCTCTGACAAAGACGGCTCCGTTATTACTGCAGTGATTCAGGAGCATTTCAAGTAGAATGCGCAAAGGGTAACAGAGCTCTGCGGCCAAAGATCTGGAGACACTTGTCAGTACCTCTCGAGAACTGCATTCATACGTTACAGGCCCTTTTTGTTAGGGGTTCCTTGGGTGTCATATTTATCTGACTCTAAACACAGCCATCATCGTGCTGTTCTTAAGCAGCTAGTGGAGAAATCTGGCTCGTAGTGTTCTTGGCTTCGTAATAAATAACCTTGTATATTTAAAGGTTTTGTTTTGCCTTTCCTTAAACTCCAAGCATGTCCAGAGTAGGACCTGTGAGGGAAACAACAGAGTAAAAAAAAAAAAGGAAAAACTTAATGAGTTACTGTTATTTTGTTTGCTTTGCTTGTTTGTTTTCTTAGAAGATGGTGTGTTTTTGTGGCTGTTGGCTGATCTATCTATGCTGCCACCATATAGTTAATAAATCTATCCCTTCCTGCTCAGTGCACTTTCCTTTGAGAAGCTCAGAACATTACTGAAATGAGGCCCATTAACTCTGATTCATTACTCTGCTCTTCCAGTTGCTCTTAGCCACCTGTAAGAACCGCAAGAGCTGACAATATGCTGCATAAACAGGATGGAAATGAGGATACCACATTAAAAACATAACTCATTTCAGTCTGACTTTTCCCCTCTTTAGTTCCAAGAGATGACTTGTAGAATCCACTCCCTTGAGATTTTTTTTCCTATTTCTTGCAATTACTTCCTTGTTTAGTATATCACCCCACATCTATACCGCTTCTCTTCATGTGGTCTCACCCTCTGCCTAGGAGAAGGCAATGACACTTCCTCCCCAGTTACTTCTCGACATTAATGAAATGTTTGAAAGTTGTATGAGTCCGAAGAATTAGGGAATGGACACAAAGATCCACACTGTATGTAATTTTAAACTAAATTCCTAGTTCTGGAAAGGATCAGAATGGATGTCTGAAAGTAGGATAGTGACAGTATTTTGGGCGATAGACTAGGATGCAGGAGAAGCAATTTCTAACCTTTCTGACCTCCCTGTCTCTTTCTGGATGGTGTATTTTAAACCAGGTTCCCCAAAGTATGTCAGTGCATGCCTTCACATCAGTGAAGATCTTGATGCTTAAACACAGCAGCAATTTGCCTTTAGTCTGCTCTCTGATTGATCTGTGTCCTCCTTCCTTCCTTCCACCTGTTGCCCGGGTGTTTCAGACAGCTTAGTACGGAGGCAGCTCTACAAAGCCAGGACTGGCTGTTATCTGCAGCAGTAAAGTGGCTGAAGGCCCAGTTGTAACAGGTACTATTGCAACATAAACCTGGATACTGCCAGTTAAGATAGCAGATATTCCCGAGTAAAAAATGTTGCTTGTCTAGACTGTGCTGAAGAGCAGGGAGAAGAGTTACCTGTTCCAGTAAGTACCTGCTACTGAGAGACATCAAAGTAGCTCAATGCAGATTATACTTGCTGGACACTGTATAGATCACACAGAAACTACACATGTGCAAATATCCTCATTATTTCTCTCCAGCTGCTTGTCAAGCTATTTTTAATTTGTTAGTGCTTGCTTAAAAAGAACAGGCTTTGTTTTCATGTGAAGAAAGCTTCACAGCCCCTTATTTCCTCCTTTTACTGTATACTCGCTTGTAGCGGAAAAAGCATCAGCAAAGGAAACTGTTCTGGGTTGGTTGGTTACACAAAGTCCTTAAGAAGAGACCAGGGAGTTCAGAGTGGGATGTGGCTCTCTATCTGAAATAGACTTTACCTTTTGAAAGACTGAAAAGCTGCTTTACATGGTGGCCCATATTCAGTAGCTTAATATGGAACATAAATTAGTAAGGGACAGTCTGTCAGCTTGAGCAAATCTGTGACGAACTCCGGCAAGTCTATTGGAGCTGGTTTATGAAATGCTCTGAAATCAAATGGCAATAGAACAGTAAGTAGGCTGAAGGTGAGACTGTAAGAATTGTAAACTTATCCATGACAGTCATACCATATCTGCACCAACAGTCAAGCTAGACTATTTCATTTGAGTGTCATCTTCATTTTGCTGGGTTCTTGGAGGATGTAAAACTTACCATTAAGGTTTTATTAACTCATTGAAGATTTCTGCTTTCCTTACACAGATGAAATCATGCAGCAGGAGATACGACCGCTGGTTGCAGTGGATATAATAGAACAGCTTCACAGGCAGTTTGCTATCTTGTCAGGTAAGAATTTTCTAGTAATTACGTTCTGGGATTCTCTTGGAAATGTGCTGGAATGTGTCGTGCTGACTGTCACTCTTCAGCTCTGCACAGCAGTTGCAAAAGCATTTTTATATTGCCAGTGAAAAGGGCCGTTATAATCAGACCCTCACAGTGCATGGAACTGATAAGTGCCAGCTTGCTGTGCTTGTTTTTCTTAAGGCGATTTAATTTTCTGTGTTCTCCACAATGGTAAGAAATTAAATAAAACTTTCAGTACATATATTTCCACAATGTCCAAGCTTGTTGTTTGTGGGAAAAGTTCTGGTTTATCAGGGAGTTATTCATGACCTCCCCCTCTTCCTCATCTGCCTTTGTTTTAGAAATGATTCATTTCTATAGTGTAAGGTTCTAATCTTTTAAAGATTTGATTATACCATATTCTTTTGTTTGCCTGAACTTTGCAATTGCACAAAGTGACGCAGTTCCTGCCCCAAAGAAATAGTTGATACTGAAATATTTGCCAAATTATTTAACATATTTTAACAGAAAAGAAATATTTAACATATTTAACAGAAGAGAAATCCTTGTCTTGGTCCTAGAGTGGCTTCTGCTGTAGACTTTGTGGCCTCTGGCAACATCTTTTGTCTCTTTCTGTCTGTTCTGCAAATAAGGAAACTAAGAATTTTCTTTCCTTCTTCCCTGTAGAGACACAGTGAGGTATCATTAGTTTGCACAAAACACTTAGATGGTCACAGTAAGGTATTCTTGGACAGCCTGTCCCTCCCCTACTTGATGGAGAGGACCATTGGATGTGCAGTGCAGAGAGTACACAGACCTGGCTCTGCAAATGGTCAGCTCAGCAAGCCCAATCCTTGCTGCATCTTTGTCTTTTAAAGTATGCATTCCACCATTGTGTTCAGTGCAGGGTAACGAAGAAATAATAATATAGCATCTATGCTAAGACAATTTTTGTGGAGTAATGTTGCATGTTCCCTTTTGGCTTGTCAGGAAAAGCTGTGAGCCCCTTCCCATTTGTGCTAGTTGCTTAACTGCAAAAATGACTGAGTGGGAGATGACAATCCCCTAATCTGGGGCCTGTTGTCAAATCTGAAATCTGTTCTCATTTAGGCATAGCATAAATGAAGCAGTTCTCTAATCCCTTTTGTTAGTGCTAACTGACTTTAAAATGTTCTAAATACAAGGAAGGAAATGGGAAAGACTAATCACTGTTCAACTCCTTTTGAGTACTCAATGACTTTTTTGCTTCAGTCTTCACTGGCAAGAGCAATTTTTTGTCCCTCAGCACAAGGACACGGATGTATTACAACAAGTCTAGAGGAGGTCCATGATGATGGTCAGAGGGCTGGAGCACTTCTCTGCAAACAGGCTGAGAGAGCTGGGGCTGTTCAGCTTGGTGAAGAGAAGGCTTTGGGGAGACCTTATAGTGACCTTTCAGTACCTATAGGGTACCTACAGGAAAGCTGGAGACGGACTCTGCCAGAGTGTGGTGATGAGAGAATGGTTTTAAAATAAAAAAGGGTAGATTTAGATCAGCTAATCATCTGAGGTCAGAGGCAATGCAATCATGATATTTCTGTGCAGTAAAGCAGAAAAGAGTGGAACAATTGAAATCTAAGGCTCTTTGTTTTCTCTGGACATGACTCACTAGAAACACTTTACTATTGCTGTGCTAAAACTTCTCAGAAGAGGATCTGACTGTCTTGTAGTCTCAGGACCACCTCATGGGAATTACGTAGCCAGCTAATAAGTTTAGCATTTGACACGGTCTAGTTATAATGAATTAGACACTGGCAGCCTCCTGCATGTCCTGGTTCTCTAGCTACCCAACTCTCCAAGGCTGTACTGTTCATGCCAAGAATAGGGAAATGCTTCCAAGGCTTTCTTGAACTGCTGTGGTCATGGAAAAGGCTGAAGTGCAATGTGATGAGCTCCTTAATCATGCAGTTTACTTTCGTCATCTCCTTTCTGTGCACTGATGTCACCTTGCTTAGCTTGTGAGATCTAGCGGGAATGCTGGCTCTTGTGGTTAAATTCTAGTTTTGAAACCACCGCTGCCTCTTTCCTTTCCCTGACGACTGAGCTCCTAATTATGGGATTACAGCTGTGACAACACAGGAGTGCTTTGCACACATACGCAGCTATGTTTGTGTTTCCTGTAGCTCTTAAGAGAACTAGATTACAAGGATAGGTGGTACTGAGAAGCTGCCTATTCTAACATGAACCAATTTTTACTGAAGAATGAAGAGATACTGGTAAGATACTGTTCCTGTCCCACTGATAGACTAATAACCCACTGTACCAACCTGCTTTTGCAACTGCTCATGCCTTCTCTCTTTTTATCTGCACCTTCACAACCTGTTCTTCTCTCAAATTACTCTGTCAAAGAACCCAATCTGCCAGATGCAGCAATAAAAGATCCTGTTACTAAATCATGAATTTATTAGACGAACTGTCACGAAATGTGTTAGCAGAGATTCATTTTCCTTTTGTTCTGCTCTTCCTAAGCCAACGCACTTCAGTGCATTGGAGACTATATCTGAAAATGGTAACTGACTGTGAAGCCAGTTTATTTAATTTCTGAAGCCTGGAGGGCATTTGGCCATCTGCTTCCTGCTTGAACTGAGCCTTTTGGAAAACCTGGCCTGACCCTGCTGAAAGGACAATTTGGAGATTGTGGAAAAACCTAAGCCCAGGAAGTGTGATTCAACTTTAATGAGAAATTCAGCATTCATAGCCCTTAATCAACATGGAGAAACAAAATAAAAGCTATTCCAGAGCATGGAAAAAGCCAAACCTAACCAAGGCAGGGAAACTTCAGCCAAGGTATGACCGAATCCTTCATCTGTCTGACCCACAAGATGAACTGTGCTCGGCTCTGCTATGACTAAGGGAGCTCTCTGCATGTGGGCAGACACCAGCAGTTTGCCTGCACGTCAGCAAAATTTGAAAGAAAACTTTCCAATACTATCTGATGAGTTGGTGTCTGGGGCAGGCGGCAAGGTGTGCACTGTAAAATTGCAGACAAACTTCTGGAACTTCTGCTGGTAGCCTGGTTTTGTTTTCCCAAAGGATTCAGCATATTTGCTGATATCTGATATTACTAGATATTATTTTACATGTCTAGCTGCTCGTGTTACAAGAAGAGCTGCTTGATGTGGAATGGGACTTGAATGTATCACCTCAGCATCTAAACCGTGGCTCTGATGCTTGGGCAGGAAGCATAGGTGGATTAGAAATGGGGAGTCATTGACTTCCTAGGATCCCAACTGTGTCCAGGAATTTGGCTTGCAGTTGTAAATGCTTGCTGCTTTTACATCAGTCCTACCAGCACGCAGCTCCAGCTGCGTGAGCTCTCAGAATACAGCCCTCACACCTCATTTGTCAATCACACCTTTCACACTGCAAAGCAAAATTAAACTTTCTCTGCTGTGATATCCTATTATCTGTCATGCATATTCCCCTGAATAAGCGTTCCCCTGAAACGCTTCACCTATTTTATGGCAACAGCCAAATTCCAGCCCTGTTTGTAACAGCTAGCTGGGCTGTACTGGCATCTGAAAGATCTGTCACTGTGTCCTGTGATAAATTAATTTGGCTTAAGAACATGAAAAATATCTGATAGCACCTTGTAGTTGTTCCTGTGTTGTGCCCCTGAGCCCTGGGGAACTGGCACACGTGAGAGTGAGCCAAGGTCCTGTTGCCATGCCCTGCACTCCCCAAAGCTGTTTGTGCCATCTCTCCTGCTTTTCTTTCCCTTCCACATTGACTGTGTACTTCTGTCCTGTCACCTGGGCTCTTCCTGTCCCTTTGCCCTTAGGCCACAAGAGAAGAGGAAAAGCTGAGCGAGATGCTGGGGTGGAAAATAAGGAAAGTGCTCTGGAAGAGGAGAGAAGGGATGCTGATTTTTTGAGTGGCAAATCTGGCAGGAGGTCAAGCATGCTGTAATCTTTTCCACTTCATCCTTGCCTTTTTCCAGGCAGCTCTGCCTCTTGCTTTTCCAACTCCTGCTGATGTTGCCTGCCTCGAGTGCTCTAAGTTGTTGGGTTTCACCCACTTCTGTGTGACCCTGAATGGGAATGAGTTAACTGCTTACTGACAACCTACCTCTGATCGCATGTCAAGGCTTACCATCAGCATGCCCTTCCCCAAGCAACAGTGGGCTGGGAATAGGGACCAGCACGGCCCTTTAATACAATGAATTTGGGCTGGATTTGAGGGAGGATCCTGGCTGTCTGCAGGGTGTGAAAACAGAAAGGAGCTGGACCTCTGGTAGGAAACTGCTGGAGCTGATGGGTGGCATCGCGTTGTGTTTGGAGGCTGGGCGGGGAGCTCAGCTCTGCGTCAGGAGATGGCAGACTGAAATCTGGGTGAGTTTCCTGTGCACACAAAGCTCAAGCTAGCTGTGACAGCAGCGTGGGTGTCACTGGGTGAGCAGCAGTGACCTGTGGGCAGCTGCCAGAGGATGGCCTAGCTGCCCTGAGGCAGGGTCAGAGGTGAGCCTGGCGTGAATGCAGCTGGAGGATAGCCCCGAGCCTCCCGTTCCTGCCAGCTGAGCCTCCAACTCTGATGGCTGCTGCTTGCAAGAGCCACTGCTACCAGCTGCTCTTTCCCTGGCCTGAAGCCAGCAGTTTGGGGCTGCCAGAAGGTGTTGGAGGTGGCTGAGAGCTCGAAGAGTGCTGCAGGGTGGCATCTAATGGAGCCTGGAGGAGCTGCAAGCTGGCGAGGCAGAGGTCTGTGCATCGCATGGAGACAGCTGCCAGGCCTGGCTATGCTCATGAGCTCTCTCTTTCAGTGTATCTTTCTTTCTCCTCTAGACTGCACTGAACTCAAGTCCTTATACCTCACTCCTCCACATGCAGCCCTTTAGCTCAGCTTGTGCCTCTCGTTGCTTTGGCTTTCCATCAAGCAACTTTGCTCCTGGCAGTCCTTGCCCCCCTTATCTTTCTGCACAGACAGCACTGAATAGAGCGGACGTGCCCTGGCTAGCCCTAATGTAACTCTCCTAAGCTTTGTTCCCTGCTCACATCTCACTTTGCTCAGCACTCCTTTGTAGTCTCCCTCCTCTTCCTTTACTTTCTACTTATAATGTCTTTTTCTTTTTTTAACCTTGTTCTGAAAGTGTTTTTTTTTCTTCCTTTATTTTCTTTTGTCCTTCACTGGAGCTGTTGGAGCACATTCTGTCCTTGTCTGCCTTACTTATAATGAATTATAAAATGTTCTGGTCAGCAAACAGTCCTTTTTTCCCCACTAGTGATGCCCAGGAGCATGGGCTTCAGGCACAATCCCAGCAGGGTCAGTGACTATTCAGAGAGTCTTTGGGGTGAAATTCCTTGCACTTCGACCTAATGTCTGTGGAACTGATTGAAGGCTGTCCCCGTTGGTTTTTAGTTTGTGCCCTCTGCCCTGCCAAGGCATTGAGGAGCCAGTCAAGTATTTTAAGGATCAGAAGACATCTTGTGACAACTCCCTAGAAGGTAAGGGTGATGGTCTGGGGAAAGACATGGGGCTGCAGCCTGTCAGTTCTGCAGAAATTTGCATACTGCAGCAAATTTTGGTTTAGAGTCAGGGAAAAAAAATGGCATTAACATGTAGATGCATGGAACTGCTCTTGTAAAGACAAGAGAGCTTTCTAGACACCCTGGGTATATAAGTAGCTTCCACTCTATACCTTAACATCCACTCTTGTTACCTTGCTAAATAGATGGATACATGGATAACAGATATGGATTGTTTTCCCTTGTAACCCAATTACTGCTTCAGGTTCAGATGTGGACATGAACAACACATTCTAACATTTTCATTATTACTTGCTGCCCAACAGTTTGGGCATTCCTTTTTTTCTCACTGTCATAATATTTAACAATTCTGCTTCACAAATCTACACCAAACTTCACCCTAAAAGTGAGTTTCTTATCTTTATTTGAAATACAAGATTTATGTATTCAAGAGCCTTTTGAGCATTCTTCTGTAGCAGTAAGTTCTACCTCCATCTCAGGCAATGAGGAGGAGCCCAAGAGATGTTAATCCAGCCTTTTAGTCAAATGCTCAGTCTGAAGCTGCTGCTGTGTGTTCTGCTAGGTTTCTTGCCAGGGGTGAAGGGAAGAAGGAAGCTTTCTGTCTGCCTGCATCCATTCCTTGGATGGCTTCTTATAGAGGATTCTGTGACAAAAATACACACCCACGTACTTACAGTGCCTCATCAACCTGCCTTATCTAATTCAGCAAAAAGGGGACAGAGAAGAGGAACACAAGTATGAATGTGGATTGTAACAGAAAGAGAATATAAAAGGGAAACAAAGGACATAAGAAGTGCCATGTGAAACTTGTAGATCAGACAAATCTTGACTATGACTGCAGGTAAACTATCAGGTGCTTAAAGGAGAACATCTAGGGAAATCTTTATCTCGTCCTTCAGAGGCAAATATTGCTGCTTCAACCCAGATTAGTCCAGGTAGCTACATTTCCCACATATAAAGAGCATCTTCACGTTTCTGAAATACATGAATGGGAAAGCATGGTGCCCAGGAATCATGTATTAAATACCTGGTAGTGCCTGCAACGCTGCAAGAAGAGACAGAGCAGCCAAGCATCCCGTTTGTGTTCCTGGCTGTTGCTGCTCACGTCCAGAAGATGTCACTAAGTATCTGTAACAAACCATCCTGACTGAGTGCTGGCCTGGTCTTTAGTTCCTGGTCTCTAGGCTACAGCAAACGGTCTGGGTCAAGGGGAAGTCTGACTAGATTGGCCTGACAGCATATTGCACATCAGTGCTGCTGGCAGGTAGTGCAGCTGGAGTGCCCCGAGGTCAGTATGCCAGGCACCATTCGCCTTCATCCCAGGCCAACGTGGAGGCCGTGCTCTGTTCATAATTTGAAATCAGTTTGGTGCATTGGGGTAATGAAGCTACAGCGAGTTAGAGTATCAAAAGGGAAGATCATAGAATCATAGAATGGTTTGGGTTGGAAAGGACCTTAAAGATCATCTAGTGCCAACCCCTCTGCCATAGGCAAGAACTTCCACCCGACCAGGTTGCCCAAAGCCCCATCCACCCTGGCGTTGAACACTTTTGGATGATTACAGAGCTCCTTTATGCCATGTATACAGGTTATGTGTGCTTTTCCGTGAGGGATATACCAGTGTTTCCCGTTCAACTGAATATCGACCAGTCTGTCCCAAGGTATAAAATCACCCTCTAATCTATTTACAACCTTTCTTTCACAGGAGGAAGAGGGAAGGATGGAGCACCCATTATTACCTTCCCAGAATTTGCAGGATTCAGTGACATACCCGATGAGGATTTTCTGAACGTGGTCACATATCTAACCAGCATTCCCAGGTGAGCCTAAGTACAAATATCTGTTTATTTCCATCAGACCCTTCCTTCCTCAGTGTCTCACTGCTTTTAGTGGTGCTACCTGGATGTACCAGTGATTCTGTATCCATCCAGCTGGTGTGAAACTTTCCTATGTGCAGAGGGCCCGAGGTACCACTTGCATTATTTGCATGGGAAAGAAGAAGAAAGCTTCACACAGGACAGGTTTTCAGGGCTTTAACTGGATGGGAGAGGTGTGTAGATCTGGAGAGTGACAGTGAAGGGAGCAGATCAAAAGGGAGCTAAGACGGGCTATTTGTGATAACTCTCAGGGGCACTGGATATGACAAGTGGAGAGTTGTATCTGTTTCTAACACTTCCCAAGAAGCATACCAAGCTCTGACTGGACAGACTAGCTTTGCTTGAACAGTTATTAATACCTAATCTTAGTGGAAATGTATTTTGTCAATTTTGTCTTTGTGAGAATCCCTTTCCCTATGCCCCAAGGGGAAAGTGAAAAAATTGTCATATAAATGTACCATTTATTTCATGATGCCCCACAAACCAGATCTTTCCAGGGCTGGAACTGCATAGGCTATATAGGCAGATGAGGGAAGTCATAAGTGCAGACAGCATGCTCTAAGCTCACCAGAGGTCAGACAGACCAGACTCAAGAAAGCTGGTAAACCTTCTTAGGAATGAGGATCCGTGACCTTGTAATTGGATTGTTTGTGGATGTGTCACACAAGCTGAGGGCAGTGTGTGGGTTGTGTCCTCAGAAACAAGACAAACTAAGAAGATCCATGCAGTCTGGGGCTGGAACAGGCATTTGCCACGATGCTATTGATGTCAGCAGCTCAGTGAGAATACATAGCAGCCTTCCTGTTATGAGTTGCACATTATAGATTATCAAATGCGCTTTGCATGTTATCAGGAAAGCTGTTATCAGGAGGATTGTAACTTTGTAAACCATATATCATCTTGTGCTTTTTGCTTCTAACGTCATTTAAAGTCAGTAGAAAGACTCCTCTTTGTCTTCTGTGATAGCTGAACTGTGTCCCCTGGTCTCTGCCCATAGATAAACATTTGGCGAATTGCACTTCCATACTTTGATTTTTCTGTCTTCTCCTTGAGGTCTAAGCAGCAGCCTGAGGTATTTATTGATACCAAATAAAACCATAGTATCTAAGCATCGTCTGTTGCTGCATTGTAAAAAGAGGGGGAACTGGGTTCTTGGATGTCTGAAAAGAAAATTAGCAACAAAGTAAAAGGCTGATGCAGTTGGTTAGGCTGTGGGAAGTGTAGGATCCTGGTCTGTGTATGCTATAGACTAGCCTTACCTCTGAGAAATGTTACAGTACAGTTATTTTTGTACTGTTTTTAAGAAACTGTTTTAAGGAATGAAAAATAAGAGAGAGATTGCTCTCGTGGAACAGCTACTAGCAAATCACTGAAGCAGGGTGGGAAAGAGAGGTGAGTGCCTTGTTGACAGGGTTCTGGCAAGCACGTTGTGCTTTCTGGTGCTTTGTTTACTGGGAGATTGCTCTACAGCTAGGATGTTTCCCTTGCTGTTTGCCTGCAGCTGTGTAAGTGGAGTGAAACAAACTCACTTCCACTGCTCTGAGGAAATAGGCTAAGGCATGGCTGCTGAATTACTTTTTGTTTATCCAAAAAGAGCTTAATATTTTTTCAGTCCCCTGATCCTGTCTCTGGACCATGGCTGTTTGTGCTAGGTAGAAGCACAGCAGCGATTTATTTTTTCCTGTGGTCTCATGTATAAAGGTGCTTAGAGGATAACGAGGGGAAAACGTGCCTCCTTCAAGTTTAGGTAAGAAGTTTTCCAGCTCCACCTACATGTATTCCCCATATAGAGTTGCCAAAGCAAGCTGAGAGAAACCACACACTGTGAGTTTAACGGCTTCATTGTTTCCCTCTGCTCTGTAGGGCCTTTGTTCTTCAAGGAGAAACTCTTCTGTATTTCTTCACTAGCTTCAGGACTGGGAGGATGACCAGCTTCAGGGTTAATAAAACAGCAATAATAGTTGAGAAAAACGCAAAGCTAGTTTGGCGATTCTTTGTATTTGGTATGCTGGTGGGTGATTTAAGGTAATGTTGGAGAGCTAGTACATTACATTGTCAACATGATGGGCAGAAAGATTTTATGATTCTTCAGCCTCCTCCTGAGGAACACCAGAGCAATGAGTGACGAATTAAATCTCAGAGCTTAGGAAGTCATGACAGCTCTGATATGCCAGTTTTACAGAAGATGAGGTACGTGTAAGTAGTATCTTCCGCTACAGACAAGTTCGCCAAAGCTTGTATTGAGGAAATTGTTCAGCTTGATTTAAACAACCTGTTCAAGGCCAGTGACAGGCTGGAATTTGAACCTACATTTACTGCATACCAGCACGTTGGTTTGACTCTGTTTCAATCATAGATCTCGCCATCAAGATATGAGTTATCCAAGGATTTTTCTAGACTTTGTTGCAGTGCTTTTAGAGAGATTGACTCTGCACTTCTTGAATTGCTATGAAACTTGCCAACCTTTGTGTAGAAGCTGAGGGACAAAGGTATTAATTTAGAAGGAGAAGAACCTGAGCGACAAGCTTTGGTTGTGATTTATGACATAATTATATGAAGTAAAATCTTTGTTTGCATAAGTAGTGCATCTGTTTGGGTGCAGCAGATCTTTGTTAATCTGCAGTTGGTTGATCCTTGCAAAAAGAGTGTATCCTTCCTACATCTCAGCAAGCAGTAAAGGGACTGCGTTTGTTATTTTTTTCAGTAGTACTGTACAGTGTGTACTATGATAGCTTTCCAGTTATTTGCTGCTAGTAGTTCACATTTTATTTTATTTTCTAGGAGAATGTCTAAGTATCAAAGAGACTAAGAGAAGAGAATAATCTCCAACTCTTGTGGAGTTACAAGGGATATTGCCATGAATCTGGTAACATGAAGTATCATTTGAAAAGCAGTTCACCCAGTTTAGCATAGAAAATACTTCTTTGCTCATAGCTCAGTGAACCAGACAAATCAGTATCATTTTTTCAGACAAATATAGAGAGAACATCTGTCGTTTGTAGTGTTTGTTTCTGTGTATCCTGCAGAATAAAGTTTGTGCTTGTTGTGCAGAGGTCTGTGATTGCAGATGACATCATTCAGCAAGTTAGTAACTTTCTAAGTCCCTCTGGAACAACTGGTCTTCTCTGCCCATATGACAAAACATTGAAAACACAGAGGTAGATAACAAGTGGTGTTATTTAGATGCACAAGCATTATCTCATCTTTGAAGTTACCAAGCAAATGTGCTTTATCAGCTGTGGTGTAATGCAGTATTGTGGGGTGAGCTCTAAGCAATCCCTGCACTTCTGTGTTTTAAAACATAAACTACTTTCCAAGGCAGAAGTTCAGCCCAGTAAGACTTCCACAATCTGCTTAATTTTCCATCTGCTTCAACATGTGGTCATGAGTGTCCCACAAAAGGGACCTACATACATAGACATGCCCAAATGTTAGTTAGCATTGTATTTGCAAATGCATTCCTCTGTGTGTGCATGCTTACAATAGATACCTGCAGAAAGCCCTTTTTTGCTCACTGTATTCCATAGCCAGAATTCCCTTCTCTTTCAGCTGACATGGATGAACTACTTTGGTGAATAGGTGCCCTTCTCTTCTTCCTAAAAGGTTAACAAATTCAGAGTCTCCTGGCCTCCTCAAATCAGTGTTCAAGGGCTAACCTGAATTCAGAGCTGAGGATGGAGCTCTGACTGCACACATTTCATTGAGGGAGAGGGAATTTGCCTGCTAGCCATGTCTAGGCAAGAATTAGATTTGGAGGCAAGCTTGATGTTTATCTGCTGTGCACGATTCTCTTCAAATCTCTCTGTTCAGAGAACTGGAGAAATCTCTGCACACATCCGTAACAAGGGTAGAGATATTACAGTACTGATAAAACACTGATTGTGTGCTTGTTTTTAAATGAACTCCCTTTCTCTGGACACACACATGCAAGTGGGGCTTCTCAGCTGAACGTCTGCTTGCACTGATGCAGTCATTTTGGCCTGGCCTCTTCCCATGGCTGTTTGCCTGCGCACGTCCTGTAGTGCCAAATGACATTCAGACCTCGGAATGGCCTTTCCTTTTGGTATGCTGACTGAAACAAGGTCACTTACTGACACTTTCTCTGTTTCCCTGGCTAAATTTAGGTCTTAAATCAGCCTCGCCTAGTCATAAAAAAAAAAAAAAAAAGAGAGAGAGAGAGAGGAGAGAGATACCATTGGCTTAGCTCAGTGAAAACAGTTGATACCATCCTGAACATCAAGATGAAATGTGCGGAATAACGTTACAGAAGCTCAGGTCTAGCTTTGTGCCAGGGTTGCAGGCCCATTTTCTGTTGTCCAAAAGTAGCTCTCATGTTAAGATCCAATTTGTGTTGCATCCACTAGCCCATAGCAGTCAAGATTTATGAAGACATATCTGTGAACGGTGTCTTTACTGCTTGCCTTTGCCTAGTCTGCCACATGATTCTGAGTGATGTGCCCGTTCCCTCACATTTTCTTTAGAGATCTGCTTGGCTGCATTGCTTTTTAGCAACATGTGGTTTTCTCACCTTCTCTTTCTGCTCTTCCTCCTTCAGATTGTATTATTTTAAAAGTTTTTTATTCTCCATTTTTTCACGTGTTTCATCTCAGACAGTGCACTAAGTTCAGTGTTGGAGGTAGTACATACTGTAATAGCTACCAGAATTGTTTGCTTCGTGGCCCGGTTCTCATTTTACCTAAACAAATCTCTCAAATCTCATGCCTTGGCCTGCTCTTCATACTCATGCTCAGCTAGGGTTGTACCTGCACTGTTTGTGTAATATCTTTTGTGCATTCTGACCCGTGCCTTCCCCCTGAGCCCCGTGGGCCAAGCCCAGCTGGTTGGCAGGCTTGGTCTTTGCTAACCAGGGTTATTCTGCTTGGTCTCCCATGGGAGAGAAGTGTGGGCTGGGCTGCACACTAAGTGGAGTTCTGCTCTGCTTTGCTCTTTTCTCTATTTCAATCCAAGTATAACTCCAGTGTATCAGTATCCATTTCCACTTTCCCTTTCCCAGTCTGTCTCTTTAACTGGCCTGCGATGCCGTGTGATTTGCGGTGGCAACTGATGAGCAATATTTCTATTCCCATATGTGCATTATTCCCAGCCCTCCCCCATGACTGTTCTCGCCAAGCCCAATTTCATGAGAAAATTCCTTTGCTGCTTCTCTCTTGTATTTTCTTGTCTGAATCTATATTTCATAAGCCCTCATTCCTATTATCCATGAATTTATTTTTTGTTACTGCATCTGATGCCTGGATGCATTTGTGCTGTTACAACCCCCTGTGGCAGAAGAACATTTGAAAAAAATTAAGCGCTAGATCATGCAGATATACTGGAGAAAACAGGGAAAGTCCTTCATTTAAGCGATTTCTTCTCTGCATGTCTGAGGAACTTTTAAAGACGGGACTTAAGAGTTAGTTCTGAAGCACAGAGGCAAGTTTTGCTTGGCACAACCACTTTTGTGTTTGTTTAAACCACGGTTGTACTTGTTGCCTTTGGCAGATGCCATCATGTCAGTTACTTCCTTTGCAGCTTGCTTACCAAGGTGTGATTGTAAGGGTCTGACTCTGGATTCCTTTAGGCCTCCAGTCCTTCCGTGTGCGCTCCTTTTAGAAAGCTTTTAGCCAGTCTCTCAGGCAGATGGGCAAAACAGGGCAATTTCTATGTGCAGGCAGCTTGTGTGAATGTGGTGCTTATGGATAGAATTACTTGTGGTTTAGCTACATCATAAATTTTACAAAGAACAGCTTTTTCTCATATTTATTAATTTGATATTAGGCGAATAATATTTTTCTTTAGACTAACGTCAGCATTTTGTTAACTTCAGCTAAACATGTCTACTCTGTTGGTCATTTTATTATAAATTGCTGGTTTTAATGGAGTTGCATCAGATTCGAACTTGATTTGTGTATCCAGTTATTGTGTGAGTGATATTCAGAAGCTGAAAATTGATTCTGAGTCTGAGCTATGAAGACCTAACTGGATGTTGATTGCAATAATACATTCTCTGTTTCCTTAGAGCAGAGGTCGTATTTTGGTGAGCCATGTGATTCATTCAAAATCGCCCTCTTACATTGCCATTTCCCTCCTGCTTTAACATGGTTCACAAAAATTGGCATGGCTGTCAAAACTGTATCAAGCCTAGTAAAGAGCCAGCTTTTTCCAAGGTTATCTAAACCTGTAGCTGTTGAAAACAGAATTACATCAACTTAATTCACCACAAGTCTCTCTATTTAACTTTGTTCTAAATAACAGAACAGATAGAATAATACACTCCACGTAACATGAATTTTGAACCATAACATTGTTCTCTTGGAATAACTGATCACGATTCGCATTTTTAGAATTTGGCTCTGGTTAACCAGATAGTTAGATCAGTATCAGTATTCCTTATAAGAGCAAAGAAACTCACGTGGGGTATGCATCTTGTGATTAGCCATTTCTGCGGGCGTTTCATGAACTGCTGGTGGAAGAACTAAACTAAAGAGTTTGTGCCTCAACAGGAGGCCAGGGAGTGTGCTGGGACTGTTCTGGGGAGATCTGGATTGTGACAAATGTCAGTGTTACTGGTATCAAATATTTGAAAACTTTTTTTTATAGATTAGTACTGGTGGATAGGTTGTATGAGAGTTTTCAAGTATTTGTGAGTATGATCCTGTCTTTAACAAGCCAAATTTCTGTGGACTCGATGGTCAGACAGCAGGCAGTGTTGACTGACTGGTCTTCTGTTCTCTAGGCCATGGAGCTGGGTGTTTCTATCTGACAGCTTCTCCATGGCTTCTCTGCCTTTTGGGGTGTTCATGTTCAGTAAAGGGAGAAACCGGGGCTGTTGTTGCTAGCACAGGGATCAGCAGAGCACCATGACCAGAGGGATGCAGCCCCGATGCTGAGGATCGGGGATTCGCACCACCCCAGCCTTTTGCCTGGTGTGGGATGATATCCCAGCAGGTATTAAATGGGAATAAGGAACCAAAAAACCTTTTTCCCATTTCTTCTGTCTCCCTTAAATTTAAATTCACCTGTCTTTCTTAAATGCATTTGCACCCTACAATCTCTAGCATTTGTTTTCTTTATAGAATCATAGAATTGTTTAGGCTGGAAAAGACCTCTGAGATCATCTGGTCCAACCTTTAACCTAGCACTGCCAAGCCCACCATCAAACCATGCCACTGAGCTTTACATCTACATGTTTTTTGAAGACCTCCAGGGACAGTGACTCAACTATTTCCTGGACAGCCTGTAACAGTACCTCACAACCCTTTCAGTGGTTTTCATTTAAGTTACTTTCTATAGTTACCTAAATGTTTTTTGGCAAATCATTAAACAAAAGAATATTTTTTGCACATGTATTACATGAGCAAAGGGGGAAAATGACATATTGCTTTGTGCTCCTTTTGAATTCCCAAACTCTGGGCAAGTTTACCCCAACTTTTGCTGTTTTCACCTGAGGCTTTCAATCCTCTTGCTTTAAAGAGTTAGCTAAACATTTGAGAATTCCTGGCACCCTATTTATGATGCAGCAACATCCATTGTCAAGGCAGGAGAGGAAGCCTGTCCGCAGAGGTGCTACATGGTATTCTGGGTGCTGAAGGTGAGTTGCCCGGGCCTTTCATGCTCACTAGACCTCCAAAGAAATTTTTGGTCTCAGTCAGCAGATGCAGTTTAATTAAAAAAAAAAGCAACGCAAATTTGTGGGTAGTTTAAGAAACCCACAGATTTAGATTTTTGTAACTACTTTCTCACACCCTTTCTGTAACAATCTGCAATACACAATTTTTTTCGGTGCCTTCCTCTGAATCTTTTTTCCAAAAATCTTCAGAAAATATATAGCATACTGGATTCATTCATTTATTTATTTATTTATTTATTTATTATGTATGAAGGCTGAAGGGGGTGTCTAATAACTTGAATTAATTTGGAGAAAAAGCAAGGTCTGACATTTTTGCCTTCAGTATAGCACAATGTAATTTGTGATCCTGAATTATTTGTATCACCTAGATTTGGCAGCAAAGTAGCATAGCAGCTGAGAGATTCAGCAAATAAAATATTCATGTTTTGTGTAAGCTGGTAGCCTTATGCTAGGACGAGAAAAAATCCTGGCTTTTGTATTAAAGTGAATTTCTGCCAAATATTCATTCTTTCCACTGTACATTGCACTTTTGTAATGGGCTTGGAGGGTGATCCGATGGAGGCTGAGTTTTGCTGCTGTACACTTCGTTGGAATGGGAGTATCTTCATGTAACCCAACAGATTTATTTAATCTGTTTTGCAGTCTGGAGGCTGCCAGCATCGGGTTCATCATCATCATAGACAGACGACGGGACAAATGGAGTGCAGTCAAGGCATCCCTGACACGGATAGCAGTAAGTACATGCTTTTGTTATTTACCTTCTAGAAAGCAAAATTATCTGATGTGCCTTTTACACAGGATACAGTCTCATGTACTCATTTTTAGTTTCTATTTTTTGGCTATGGATACAGATTCTATCCTGTCCCGAAACTCATGAGTTTCTCATGAGAGAAAGGAAGCTGCAGTAACAGAAAACACAGCCTTGTTTACTGCTGAATTTAGGACAAATTCCTCATGTGCTGGTTGACTGCAGTATGAATTCTAGTAATATGAAGTTGTTTCCAGAAGAGTCTAACAGAGGATCCTTTCTGTGCATTGTGAGGGGTGACTACATGGCCTGTCTGTGAACTAAACAGATCCCAGTGGATTTGTGTTTGTGTGGTAGTAAGTGATCTCAGAAACTATTAATAGCTCATTGTATCTCATTTGTGAAAGTGGGAGTTCAGGCACTTTTTCTGAAAAAAATACTAATACTAATACTAATAAAAGCAGCTGTTTTTATACATCTTTTAAGTGAACATGTGCTGTGTGAGGAGCAAGTGCTTAGAGGTTTAGGATGAAGGGACAACCAAGGTTACTTTAAATTACTTCAAGAGTTTTAGATAATTGTTTTTCATTCTTAGTTCTCTTTAGCTGCCGTCTTCTTGTTCTTCTTCTTTTAACGCTGATGAGCACAGAGGAGAGGAGTGTGTGAGAGGTGTAGGCTAGGTGTTGCAGACAGGACTATGACTGCTGAATGTGTTGAGTGCCTGCACGTAGGAAAAACAAATGAGATTAAAAAGATTAAAACCTTTCCAGAGTGAGAAGGCAGGTCAGTCTGGGAAATTCATTTGTGCCACCTGCTTCTTTCACCAAGTCCAACATGGGTAGCCAGTTTTGTAGGTTAAAAAAAAAAAAAGGGTGGGGGGGTTATAGGGAGACCTAAGGTGTGTTAGTGCAAAGGAGGCTTGCTGTGTTTCAGACCTGAGAGGAGGAAGGGTGAAGGTACTAGTGCAGAAACTTCAGAGGTCTGTGCTAAATCCCTTCCAGAAAGCAATATATGGCTGGGCAGTAAAATCCACAGTATTTCCATTGGCTTTGGATACTGACATTGGAGTTGTGCAGAATGGACAGCTGATATCATTAGCAGCTGGACTGGCCAAGTTTCAATGTCCTCCCTGGTTTACCCCCTTTAGGAAACACTTGGCTGAAAATTGCCTTGGCTTCCCTACAAGGCAGAGTTTTGCCTTCTAATAATTTTATGGTTTTTGCAGGGAGCATTTCCAGGAAACCTGCAGCTGGTGTTTGTCCTGCGGCCCTCCCGCTTTATCCAAAGGACAATCGCTGACATTGGCATTAAACTCTATCGAGATGACTTTAAAATGAAGGTACCGGTAAGCATACATTTTTTTTGTCCATGTGTTCTTATCTGCATGCCTGCAGTGCCTTAGGTGTCTGCATCTTCTCATGACCCAATAATTAAAATTTGATTACAAGTGGCAACTGGGGCTGTGATTTGGTCTGTGTGGTGTATACAAGGTCAACAAAACCTAAACAGAAAACAGAATGAGATCAAACAAGCTTTGAGAGGCACGTAGGCACATTTACAACTGACTCCATTGTCTGGATCAGATAAGTTATTTTTTATTTCATTCCAGTGATAGATATATGCAGGGAAAAAGCAGAACCTATTTGTATGTGTAACAATGGTTTGTTTAAATTGTGTTTGTGGGATTATCTACTATCAATTGAAGGAATGCCAAAGAGTTAATTCCCGGTGAATGCCTCACAGGATTTTAATGGACATGTTCCCATGTGAAGGATCAGTCCAGCTACAGAATGTAACTCAGGTTAAGCAGTGACATCTTAACTCGGTGGAGCTGTTCCCCCGATGTAGGCAGAGGTAGATCTTGCTCCAGTGACAAGAGTACACTAGTGGTGAGCACTAAAGAGAAGTGAAAGGCTAGGGCTACTACTGCGCTATGGACTGCTGACAATCTCGTAGTGCCCTGTTAAGAGCCTACATGGCATTGCTTATTTTTAATGCTTTTCATGATCTCCACCCCTTCAAGATTCAAAGCATGCTTTTTACTGCTTTTTCTATATACTTGGCATACGTTCAGGTTGATGAGAATGTGATCTGAAGAAGGTTACCAATCCTGAAAGAGTTTTACATTATACTATGATAGCTCTTTTTGGAGTTGTTCCCAGCTGCACGCTTGCCTGTGGTTTCAAAGTGTTTTATAAATAAACATGAATGATGATTATTGCTGGTATTTCGTCCTGGAACTGACTCACGCTGTGTTCCACAATGACTTTACTGGAGTGATTTCATATGATTGTTTGGGATTTTGCTTGTGGTTTTAAATCGTTTTGCAAAAGACCCATGATTGCGCTCCAACAATTTCTACCTTTGTCAGTACCTAGGTTTGAAGTTCATGCACTTCCTGCTTCTGCTGTAGTAGGACACAGCAGACTGTTTATTACAGTGCATACAGAAAAGAAGCCATGAACATTCGCTTTGTTACTGTGGGTTAATTTTTCACACTGACTGTAGTTTGGCAGGGGTGGCATTTTGGTGATTAATATGCAAAATTGATGTTAAAATATGTGTTTGATTACAAAACAAAATCTTTTCATTTTATATCACTTTAAAATTGGATGTTCCTGTACTTAGTAAGCCAGAATGTGTTACCATAGCAACTGTTGTACCAGAAACTGCAGCCTACAAAAGGAGAACATCAAGAAATAGCATTTTCTAGCAATTCAGCATCTTCTCTACTTTTAGCAATTTATTGCATGACAGAGTGGCATTTCAAATCCAATTTTAAACTATCACTGTTGGAAGAGGAGTTAATTGTAGGCAGGGATCAGGCACTGCATTAAGTATTAAATATTAGCATACCTTTCCTACAGGTAGAAAAATCAAGATGAGTTTAGTTGAGGGTCTTTTTGGACATTCAAAATTTGAGCCATCTTTGGTATGTCCACATAGCTTTTAGAGACCAGTCCTAGAAAAACTAAGAGCATGATGTGCTTTATGCCTCCTTCCCACATACCTGCAGATAGCCTTATATATATGCTGCCTACATCTGCCTGATGCTGTAATAAATTGCTTAGTGCTGTGCTAGGGGTCTCCTAAGTTCTCTGGGGTCTGCCATGATCTCTGTAGGGGCCTCTTGGCTGAGTTTGCAGCCCATCCTAAAAATAAGTAAATAAATCTGGGCATATATAGCTCAATTTCAGAGCAGATGAAGTTACTGAGAGTGGCCGTATCTATTTGGCACCCTTGAAAAGGCTTGAACAGGAGCATTAAAAAGTAGCTTCAAGAACATGATGTGCATTTGTTAAGGAGTTTATCTGAGCTATCAGACTGCAAATATGTTCAATAAAGTAGATATTCTGGGTGAAATCACCACTGGATTGAGCAGCTGCCTGGGGAGCAGCTCTGCTGCAGGACCTGGGGACTTGGTAGACAGCGAGTCGTACGTGAGGCAGTAGTGTGCGATGGCAGCAACACAAGCTATCAGCATCCTTTATTTACAATATCAGCATTAGCAGGAGCATAGCCAGTAGATAGAGACCAATGATTGTCCCCCTTTAGTTGGTTCTCATTAGGTTGCATCTGCAGCTAGTTTTGGTAACAAGAAAGTTGTTAATCTGGAGTGAGCTCAGTGAAGGGCCATCAAGCAGGCCAGGGCCTGGAGCATCTCCTCTATAAGAAGATAATAAAAGAGCTGGGGTTGTATAGTTTGGAAAAGGAAAGGCTTGGTGAGGGTTAACATAGTGTGATTGCAGCTTTCCAATCCCTCTAAGCAGGTTACTGAGAGCATCCAGGTGGTGTATGACAGGAGGACAAGAGAGAGCTGACAAAGCGAACAAAGGCAGTACTAACTTGATATAAGAAACATCATTTTCACCATGGGGATAATCAGGCAGTTGAACAGACTGCCCAAAGAGACTGCACAGTCTCAGTCTTTGGAGGTTTTTAAGACCCAGCTGGATAAAGTCCTGAGCAACCTGGTTTGATCTCATATCTGACCTAGCTTTGAAAAGAAGTTATTCTAGAGACAACCTGAATTATTCTAGGATGATTCTGTAAAAAAAAAAAAAAAGATCAACCAAAAGCCTGTCCAGGCTTGTTTCAAGGCTTTTCTTAGAGCCCTTATTCAACCTGAAATATATGCCTTCCACACAGCTGGGCTCATCTCCCTGTCTACAGCATGCTTAACATGCTCCATTGGAATTAATGTGTGCTAACAGGCATAGCCAGTTGTCCTTTCTTCAAACTGCAGGACAAAATAATACATTTAACATATTAAAGTCAAAGGCTTAAAATTTCTAGTTATTTGTTCTCAACATCTTGTTTTTCTGGTGCTGAAGTCATGGTGTATTTTCTAGCTGGTAGAACAACAGGGCCTAATTAAGTATGTTATTTGTGTAACCACTTGTGGTGCAAGATTTACAGTGGTAGCCAAAAGGTAATACTGCTTACCAGAAGATGCTTTTGCTTTCATTAAGCAGGTTGAGTAGTAGGGAGACTGTTTAGAGTAAGAAAATGGATCCTAAGAACAATGATTGAAAGGGCTCGTTATTTCTCTCAGTCCGCTGTGTTTGCATTTGTTTCAGATCATCATGTTAAATTCCGTCTCTGATCTGCACGGCTATATTGACAAAAGTCAGCTGACCCGGGAGCTGGGAGGAACCCTGGAGTATGGCCACAGTCAGTGGATACATCACCGAACCGTGAGTTTTGGTGTTGTTCTTACACATCTACCCCCACAAATGTCCAGGTGACAAATGTAGAGCAACCATTAGGTAGGAACTCTTCAGCTGCATTTCAGCCTACACATTTTACTAGGGATTTGTGGAAAGAGGGATTCCATGACTCAAACAGAGAAGGGTAAGTTCCCCTAAAGCTTGTAGCAAAAGTAGTAGTTGACCTGTACTAGGGTCTACGGTGTCATAACATTATTATTCAGCAAGGCCCTTGGGCACATTCTTATCTTTTGGATAACTGATGGATTCAGAGGCCTGCAGCTCATGGTCAAAATGGCACATATGCTGTAACAGTGTTCTGAATGAAAGGTCAGGATTCTCACTTTAATGAGCAATTATATCCATGTTTTTAAGAGAAGAAAACACTCAAGACATTTGATTTTATTTCCCTTTGTTTTCATTTCTGTGCTATGTAAACATTTGTTCCAGATGTCTCTTATTTTGAGTAACTTGAGAATAATTAATAATTGTAGGAAAGCAGAAAGACTGTTTATTGTGTTGCCGTTAGGAAACTTGTTACAGGTTTGATTATTTGTTCCATTGTGGGTTGGTTAATGTATCTCAGTGGCTGCTTCAAAACAATGTAAACATTTCATTACAATTCCCAGAAAAGGTGGTGGTTTACAAAAAACAGACCCCAATCTTTGTCAGATAATCAGCCAAAATGTTGTCCCATCCTCTCTACATGGAAAGGTGCAAAGCTCAGTCCTCATCCTGGAAACTGAATTAATTTCCCTGAGGGAGTGTGCAAATGCTTGCATGAGTCTTTGTGGGTCTGCTAGCAAGAGTGGTATGTTAGAGCTCGCATCTAAGTAGCCCCAGTATTTTGCTGTGTTCTGAGCAGCCTGGGATTTGGGTTTGTTGTTGTTGACCCACAGCTAGATCTAGCATTCGGAAAAAGCTTTTCTGAGATAGCTTGGAAGTCAACGTTGATCATTGTTAACTTTTTGTTGTTGTTGTTCTAAATCGGACTTCAGTATTTTCTGTGTAATAAATCACAACTCTTGTAAAGTTGGATCACTTTTGTCACTTTCCTGCTACCATTTGCTGTGCTTTGCTGTGCTTATAAGATTAAATTTTACTTTTCTTGAAATCCATCAAATGTTTCAGGCATTTAAATAAGCAAACATGAATTCTGAGTTACTTCTAACACCGGCTTGCTAGGTTTGCTGAAAACAGTGAGGAAAACCTTGAGATAGAATGTGAACAAGCCTACAGGTTAAAAGTATCAAAAATATGAAACTGTCCTTGTAGGAGGCATGACTGAAGGAATCATCCATGTGATATTTCAAACCACTAAAGGCTTGAAAAAAATGGGGAAGGGGGCTAAGATGAGGCACAGGCAGGAAAGTCTGTATTAATTATGAGGGACAGAATATTGCCTAAGAGAGTATTGTGAGTGGGAACGTATAGTTTGGTAAAATACGCAAATAAAAGTGAGCCAAGATTTGAGATGAGTGTGGCTGTGTAACCTAAGATCTTTTGGTTACGTTTATTTCAATAGCTTTTTACCAAGCACAGAGACTTGAAGACAAAACCACAGTCACGCTTTAGGAATATGAAGCCATTTATTGCTCATATGCATGGCAATGAGTGGGGACAACCATGCTACTACTTGAGGTACTGACGAGCTTGTGGTGCCTGGTGTAGTCAGCCAGGTAATCTGCTGGATAAGAGGTTTGTCATCAGGGAAGTGTTGGCCTGAGTGGCACCTTGAAAAAGCCTGACCTTCAGTCTTGCTGATGCAGTGTCTTCATCCCCTTTACTGTTTCTCGTAGTACTCTCATATCTTGTCCTGCCAGGGTTTTGTTTTGTTTCATTTTCTGAATCAGGTTTAAGCTGTTGCTAAAAAGTATTGATTTAGCAATCTTACAACATTGCTCTTCGTTTCTGCTTTCTTGAATGGCTAGGAGCCTGTGAGCTTTCTTGCTCACAGAGTACATTTTAGGCTCTTAGTAAAGAGCTCTTTGTCATGGATGGCTTTGTCTGTGTTGCAGTCAGAAGTGTGGCATTTTAGCCAACTGTAATACACTAATTTCATTGCTGAGAACAGCAGGCTACAGCTGATAAGCACTGAGCCAGAGCATATGTCAGTGTACTGCTTCTGCTGAACATGGACATGAATTTATGGGGGAGGAAAAAAAAAAGGCTATGAACACTGCTAGCATTGCCTCATCTGGAGCCTGCTTTAAGATCACATGATGTGGAATGTAATTTCTGCACCTTTTGAACAACAATCTACCTCCAGTTTGTTTTCCACAGAGCACACCACGTAATTTTAACCCTTGTGGTTGCAAATGAGGATTTCCCATCATTGCTGGAGAAGGGAATACAACTTGCAAAAACTATATAATGTTTAACCGGGTGTAAGAGCATCCCCAGTGCTACTGAGTGACTCAAAATATTGTGTGGATTAGGTCAAAAAGTGTAAAGAACAAATCTGTGCGGAACAATACAGTCTTTCTTTATCCCTAAAGAAACTGGGGCATGATCACGAAAAAACTTGTAGTCACTTGCTACAAGGTACAAAGGTTTTAATCATATGTCATAAGTCTGAACTATTCTAGTATTCTAGTTTGAAAAGGCAGCATTCTTATTAAGCCTTTCTCACTTTCACTTCACTTTCTTCAATAAAACCACAAAATTTGGATGAGTTTTGTGTTAGTGCACCCAAGAAGCAGTAATGCTCCAATGAATTTACGCATTTTAAATATATTTGTAGTAAGTCATTCTTCAATTTGTGGGAGGGATGGGAGGGAGTGACTGGAATACATTAAGTACAGATAGGCAGGATGGAGATGCACAGTTTGAGAAGTCAAAGAGGAGACGGATTGCTGCTAAGTGAACAATGGCTGTATAAAAATAAAAGTAAAAAGGCTTTGGCTTATGTCCTTTTGGTGTCTCTTCAACTTAAATGAAGCCTTAATTAAAATCTTTAAACACCACAGAAATTCCCAGCAAGCATGGGCAGAGGATCTGAAGTTCCAGACTGGGCTTTGAAGTTGATGTCCTCTGTGGTTTCATTATGTCATTAAGCTCTGGAAGTTCTCCATCTGGTTCATGGATATGGTGATACTTTGTAGGCCTTTGAAAAGATCCTTTGTGACACAGAATTTAATCTGTAACTTGTAACAGATCTTCTCAAAACCAGCAGCATTGCCCCCTTTACAGGCATTGCAGCACAGTGTCTGACGAGCTAAACACAGCTGACATGCAGTAAATAAGCAGTCTGTGACTTTATGCTCCTGCTTTTCCAGGCTATTGAAAACTTTGCAATGACAGTGAAAACAACAGCACAGATGCTGCAGACCTTTGGAACGGACTTAGCAGAGACAGAACTTCCCAACGATGTGCAGTGCACAGAAGAGCTCCTGTCTGCACACACTGACCATCACAGCAAGCTGAAGGTGAATGTTGTCTCGTGACAGCTCCATTTGTGTAATAAGTGGGTTTTGATTTAACATTTTTTTCTGCCATTATTTTGGGAATGCAGCTATGAAAAAGGACTGCACAGCTTCAGGAGTGATAGAACAGGATATTGTTCTATCCTGCTCTGTTGCAGTTGACATGAACTATGTTATCTCCAAAGATTTGGTGGTGTTCCTTTGTGCAGTCTCCTTCGGTGCTGGTAACAGGGGAGGACCATGAATCCCTGCTTTATGAGAAAGTAGTAAAGGTTTTGTTTCACAGGCATCCCCTGATGACTTAAAAATGGATTTCAGAACATCTAGAACATTTTCAGAGATCTATGCAAGATGTGTGTGGTGGAGACTCCTCAGCTGACATTAATTTTTGATCATCATTGTCCTTTTCATTGCTCATCTTTCATGCTAGGAAGATACCTTCTTCTGTGGTTGACTCCTTGATAGCTGTCATACCATGACTTAGCATGTCACAGTTTGAGGAAATCCCATTAAGAAGCACAATGTCTCAGCAGCGTCTCAGCTGACTGAACAATTGGTAGCATACATTTGATTTGTGTTAGAGTATTTTATTCTGAAAGTTACCCAGTCAAAAATGCAATCTGTTCAGAAGTTATGCAATGTTCCTTTTCTCAGAAATATATCTACTGTTCATAGTGAATAGATTTAGTCTCTGCATTCCTAGAAAGATATGTCGTCATTGTGAAGCACTTATATTCTGTTCCAAGTATTCAATACCTACAAAAGTAACCTCCCTTAGCATTACTATGTTGTCTACCTAAGAGATGGAACTGTTGTTAGCATAAATATATACTTTTCTTGTTTCCCCCCTCAGGATGAGCTGAAACTAGCTGTGAAGCAGGGGGCCACCCTACTGACATGTATTAGGGAGCCAGTCACCCGAAGTGCCAACAGCAAACTCAGTCCGGATGAACTAGAAAATGTGGCAACAGTGGAAAGGTTAGTGAAGCTTGATTACCTTGGGCAAGTTGGTAACTTATTCCTAAGAAATGCAAATGTAATTTATGTCCTCATTTAAATGGCATAAATATACAGGCTATAAATTCCAACTGATTCAGTCACTCAAGGTTTATTGGATACATAAGTCAGAGAAGGGAATGTCTTTGAGGAATTTACTTGATTAAACTGGCAGTGAAAGTTCAAACAAGTCCTGAATTTCATGGTAATTCTTGGTTGGACCACTACCTACCTGGTGGAGGATTTAATGTGGAACATATTTTCCCTATTACATCCTCCAAATACCTGTGCCTAGTTAGAAAGTGGCATCTGGATCCATGTGAGATGAAAGAGTATATGCTTGTGTATTTCTGTGGAAACGCTGGGGGAGGGAGGAACAGATAAAGATGATAGTCTGAAACCTTCACAGATGTATATAAAGAGAGAAATCTCTGTTCCTTCCTACAATGCTAGTTATTACCATAATGATTTTATTTACTATGTACAAGTTTCTGCTGTTCCATATGATGCAGTAGAAAGAGAAATGTTATGCTAGTGTTTCAGCATATCTGCATTCAGCAGGAACAAAGCTGCCAAAAGTAAAGTTGATATTTTTCACTGAATACTTTAAAATCCTTTAATCAGTCATTCTGAAGAAATTTACAAATTCAGCTTGAATTCAGCAACTAGCTTTGATTAAAAACACATTTTTCAGGGATAGATTGAAAACAGGACTTGTTTTTGAGAGGAATAGGAAAGAACTATTGGTGTTTGCCCCAATTACTTCATAGTTCCAACACTGCATTTGTAGAAGATCAGGCCTGGTTTCCTGCCTGCCTGAAGAATGCCAACTATTGAAAAATAGGATATTCAGAGAAAACTTCATTTTCTTTCTTTTCCTTTTTTTTTTCTTTTTTTTGTTTTTCTTTTTCCTTTTTTTTTTTTTTTTTCTTTCTTCCCTGTTTAAACTGTTCTACTTTGTAATATACTCAATAGGTCATAGAGATTGTGAGGATGACTCATAATCTGGTGTTTGACACTTCACTCAAAATGTGGGACACTTGATACTGATTTTTTTTTTTTTTTGGTGAATAAGTGTTTCATTATTTCCATGAAATGAAACATTGTCAGTGGGAGGCATTATGAGCCTCTAATCCATTGTGTTTAGGAGAGATGCATTAGGAAAAATGATTCAACTATTGCTTATTTCTTATGGCAAAAAAAAAAAAAAGAAAATGAACAACAAGTTGTACAGTTCTGCTTTAAGCATTCTTAAAATTAATAATTGCATTGTATTCAATCTACATCGGCCTGAGGTGAATTATCTTTGAAGATTAGATGGAAGCTCGGGAGTGACAGCTACTTCTGGCTGCCAGCACATGGACCAGGTCTGTATTCCAGTTGCAGGTTAGGAGGCAGGGCTACAACTGCCACAGTAGATCCATGTAGCTATCAGTCATCATCACACTTCTGCCTGTACCACTTCAATTTTTGTTCTCTTTTTCTCAAGGGAAAACTGATGCAGAACCTTGTTCTGCTTCATACATAGGTGTAGGTTCCCCACCGTCTCCAAACCCTGTTTTTTGCAATCAGTTGGTGTAACTTAAAGGAAAAGAATTGTAGTAAATTAAGTGCTTTTCACTCTAATTTCTTAACAGGTTGTTGGCTCAGTTGGATGAAACAGAAAAGGCTTTTGATCAATTTTGGACCAAGCATCATCTAAAACTAGAACAGTGCTTGCAGCTTCGACACTTTGAACATGATTTTAGAGAGGTATTTCATTGGTTGATTTTGTCTAGTCTTCTCTGGTAAATAAGGTCAAACTGCTTATATGTAGAAGTATAATGGCATTCCTAAAAAAAGAGACTGGGAGAGAAGCCATTCGTTATAAAAAATGAAATTAATATTCAGAAATCTTGGTAATTATCTGATATTTTACAGCATTAGGCCAAACTGTGAAACACCAGCTTCATGCTAAATGATTTATGTGTGATCTTACCAAATATCACTTTTTCTATGATGCTAATTGTCCAACTCCACTGATGTCAATTGAAAAGAAAAATGGAAAGCCCAGCTGTCAGCTCAAAGGACAAAGTAATACAAATCTTGGAGTAATATAGGCTCTAGAGTTATGGATCTTCAAAACTGCGTGTCTCAATAAATAACAAGAACCAGGGACAGCTCTTTAGAGAATAGTTGTTTGTTGCCTGGTATTTTCCATTTTGAAAGCCATTTATAACAAGATGAAAGACTAAACTTGAAATGCAAACTCTTCTAAAAGATGGAGATAAATGTTTAGAACTCATAGATTTGTTATAATTTTATGATCATCTTGTGATGGGTACGCTTTTTTTTGTCGTGTTTGTTTTAGGTAAAACTGACATTGGATAATCTAATGGAAGCACAAGCAGGTTTTTCTGACATTGGAGACAGTGTCACTCGAGTAGAGCACCTCCTAAGGGAACAGAAACAACTGGAAGAGAAAGGACAGGTTTGTGCTCAATATTGTATTCCAGCTGATCATCTAGATGTTTCTCTGTCACTATTGTTCTGTGACACTTACTCTCTTCTCATGGGTCATTATTTTAAACTGTGAAACTCTGATCCTAATTTCCAGAAACCAAGGTTGTTCAAATTCAGTAGTTCTGTTTTGTTACCTGGAAATCTAGAATCAGTTGAAATACCTGCGTTTCAAACCAAGACAAGTTAGGGCCATCTTTGGTATTTGAAAAACTTGGAAGACGTAACAGGTTCCCTTGGCCAGATACCATTTAAGATCATTCTGTTCAAGCTTATAGCAGTTTCAGGAACACCCATGCCTTCTGATAAACATGGTTTTTTTTTGTTGTTGTTGTTTGTTTTTTCAGACGTTTGAACTTTGCAATTGCATCAGTTGGTCACCTATATATAATATGCATCACAGTTAGTATTATTAGAAAGCATTGAACAAATGAGTAAGCTGAATCAGAGGAGGGTGCACATGAACAAAAGCAAAAACTGGTGATGATCTGATGATCTTTTTTAAGCACAGGATTAAGATTTAGAAATGCTGTCATCTTTGCCCATCTGTTCTGTAGAAATCTAAAGAAATTTAAGTTACTGTAACTTACATTTTCCTTCCGTTGTCCCTTCTTGTTGTGTGCTGTTAGGTGATATTTTAATTATGATCTATTCACAGCATATGTGTTAAAGCACTAAATATTTTTGTATTTGACACATTATCACAGACAGCTTTTGTACTCCAATGAAGCAAATAACCAATAATAATGGATGTAGTTTGAACTCATCCCATGAAATGGGAAAAAATCTTCTGTACCTATAAATATTCAGCAAAGAGCTGATGGTTAATAGCTGAAAATAGAGAAAATGTTTCAGTGCCATAAACAGTTTAAATTCACTCTGACTTTGCCTTGCAAAAGTCTCGGGACCTTCACACTCCTGAGCAGTGGTTTTAAAAGTTGCCACACCTGTTATCACAACCTGTTATCTTCTGCCCCTCTGTGAAGATGTGATGTCCTGCTCTTCTGAGAATTTGTAATCTGTAGCTCTACAGATATGAGCTCAGCTGACAAAGCCTGAGATAACAAGATTTATCATAGAAATTTGCTCTGGTTCATTCTCCATATTGTGCTGCTCTACTAATCTTTAACTTGGGTTAAGCATGTGGTAGAATATTTTTTTATTCTATGTATGATCTACAGATCATACGTGCTCTGTATGATTTTGAGACTGTTTAAGTACTCACCTCTGAATTTAGGCTATGGAGGCAGGAAGAACAATAGTAAGAAATAATCACTAACACGTTGGTCTTCAATGCAAATTGAAAAACAAGTCAGCTAGATGAATATCCCAAACCTTTAGCTCCAGGCTACAGCACAGATTACAGAGATAGTTTATCTTTACTAAATGTGTAATTTTAAGGTCTAACTTTGGATAGTTTCTCATTAATTTCACAGGAACCATTGGAGAAAGCCCAGACTCTAGCTCTCCATGGAGAACAGCTCATCCAAAACAACCATTATGCAGTCGATTCCATTAGACCAAAGTGTGTTGAACTCAGGCGTATTTGTGATGACTTTACCAATGAGACCAAGAAAAAGTACGATATTTTGGGAAAGTCTCTTGAGCTGCATCAACAGTTAGATAAGGTGAGTGAGCCTTTTTAGAGAACAGCACTAATGACGGTTCTACTGAAAATGAATGTTTTTATAAGCACGGGTACAAAGACTTACTACTTTTTCCTCCATTTCATTCAGAAACTATTACCATAAAAACTGGAGCAGTAGCTTCTCATAATTATGATCTTAAAATGATGAATAGTAGGTTACTAAAAAAAAAAGAATAGAACTAGGCCTAAATTTGAAACAAGAAACAAATGTGTAAAAATATGCTTAAAAATAAACAGCTTACTACTTGTTCTTTTTATTTATCCCACTTCATATGATCTGAGTAGAATAGAAAGCTACATGTAAATGCTCTGAGAATGTTTACATGCTATTTCAGCCTAATTCCTAAGAGGAAGTACCAGAAATTCATCTTGAAAACCTGCTTTGGAGTATTTTTAACTGAGTGTAATAGGCCTAAGAAGTTTTGGGGAGTTTTGATACAGATCAAATATTAATCTGGGGTTTTGAATTATTTTGTGACTGAACACTGAAATGAGGTAGTACAGCTGAAAGATTTGATTTGCAGCAACCACAGTAACACTCTTCCTCCTCAGAATATTATTATGTGTTACTGAACCATCCATCTATCCCATGAGAGCTGAATTTAATTTGCTATTGTTCTGTATCTATGGTGGGATGTATTTTGACCAGGACCATGCTATGAAGTAAACATTCATTCAGCAACATGGTAGGGCAAATCTGTATTTCATGGGGTGGTAGAAGCAACACTTCATAATACGGACTGTCGGTGATGTTGGGGTCCTTGTTGTCTGATTTTTTTTAAAGGCAAGCAAATGGTGTGAAGCTGGAATCTACCTCTTAGCTTCCCAAGCTGTGGACAAGTGCCAGTCACAAGAGGGAGCTGAAACCGCACTCGTTGAAATTGAAAAGTTCCTGGCAACAGCTAAGGAACACCAGCTTTCTAACCCGAAGGAGTTCTACAATCAGTTTGACATGATCCTCACCCCTGAAATAAAGGTAAAACCTCTCAAATGCATATGCACTCAGTTCAAATTTCAAAATACCAATTGCTTTCTACATGAGAGAGTACCAGACTATATCTCTGGGCATGCTCAAATATGCCTCTTTTGCTACAGCAAAAGGATACAGAGGTGAGCACATACGGCAATAAGTTTTATTTATATGAGCAGTCCTATAACCACACATACTTCAGGGTAGAGCTAGAAAATTTAATGAGTCACCAAGTCCTACTCCATGAAATATAGATCTGTGCAGAATGCATGGGCTGGGTTGGGTTAAGCTACAACATGATCTTTATCTCTAATACACCCAGTCTGAGTAACAGAAGTCATCTCAACTTGCTTAGTCCAGCACTGACAACCATCTGCTGTTTGCCTTTTCTTTGCCTAGGCCAATGCCCAAAGAATTCTACAAAAACTAGAAGATGTACAAGAAATGTTTGACAAGAGGCAAGTGAGTCTGAAGAAACTGGCAGCCAAACAGACCCGGCCAGTACAACCTGTTGCCCCACACCCTGAATCTTCCCCAAAGAGAGCATCACCAAAGACTACGAGACCAGCAGGAGTAGGTAGGCCATGAACAGCTGCTTTCAGATACACACCAGTGTTTTTCTTGCATAGTCATGCTTTAGTTTTTGTCTTCAGAATGAAAACTTGTATTTGATGTTCAGTATCAACCTTGTAGGCCCAGAAAATTAAAACAAATGTGAAACAATCTATCACTAAAAGCATATAAGCAAGGGTGAACCAAAAAAAAAATAAATAAAAATCAGGCTCTTTTTCTTAGGTCTAATCTACAGAGCATATTTCTATACTGTTTCTCATTATGTCATATATTGCTAATTTTTCCCTGAAAATGAAAACCAGGTTAGTCACTGCAAAGTATGTAAAGTATGCATGAGGAACTCTTTTAAATTGCACATACAGTGGTACGAATATTTGGCTTTAAAAGATCACAATCCCTCCAGTTTCAATTAGATACTGCAAAAAGCTTTATGCATCGTTGGTGACATTGACTCATTGGTGTGATTTTTCTGTTCTTTTGTTTTTCCCTCCACATAACTATTTAGTCACTTTCTAGAGTTGTCCTCTGCTAACTAAAAAAAATTGAATACTGCTTCTGGTTGGAATTTACAGAAAGTTCCTGATTTGAGGTTAGCATGTTTAAGCAAGGTACCTATTTTCTGCAAAAGGAACGTGGGTGAAGCAACTTGAAACTGTGCATCTTGGAGGCCAGCCACATTGTACCTGGTGGCAGGAAGGGGTTAACCTTTTCAGCAGAGATAGTTATAAAAATTTAAAGAAAAGAACTTCAGGGCTTTTTAACAGGGAACCTTTAGCTAAAAGTCTTGGGAAAAAACTACTAATTAGCATTAAGAGCATACATGTACAGCAAGCTTTGATTTTTCATCAGGAAGATTAGGCAGGCCAGTAGCCTGACCATTTTGCTTTCTAGGCATACTGTCAAAAGCTCATACAAATGTCCCTGTTGTTTTCCTCTGGTCCCCAACATTCATCCTTTCCCAATGCCAGTTTGACATCTTTACTTCTTTCCCCAAAACCTTGCTAGCTGTGGTCTTAACATGCAATTACTACCTCAAGTTTCATTTTCATTGTTGCCTTAAAGCAAGCTGAAACCACAATGCCTTTGAAGAGGTCTTGCTCTGATACCTCCATCTGCTAGCAATGTGTTCCACTCTTGCACCGTTGTTGGCAGTCAGTTAGCTGCATGAATTTTTAAGTCTTTGAAAATTCAAAGAACTGACAGTAAAAAAGTAGTAGTTAGTTTTCCATTGTGTAAGTTAGTAGAATGTAGAGAGTTCTGGAGATCACCTAGCCCAATCAACTCCTCAGAGCAGCACTAACTTTAAAATTCTTCAGGCCACTAGTGCTAAAGCAAAGACAGTTGCTGAAAAATGACATTATGGGACCAGTAGGTCTAAGCTAGTTAGTCCTTGTTAGTGGCAGTAGAGTTTTAGAATGGCTTTCACCAGTTGTGAAACTGCACCTTCAGGCTAAAAGCTAGTCTCGCATTTCTATTTATGCATGCAATCTCTGCGTTTCTTAAACTTCTTTCTTGTCATTTTAAAGCACTTGCAGATTTTTTCCATTTTTGATATAAATAGAACCTTTAATATAGTCACTAGTACAGAAATGACAATACTTTAAGTGTTGATTGTTGTTCATACACCCCATCCAATACTCTCAGCTACTTTACAGAGAACCATGACATGTTCCCTTGCTCTGATCCTTGCATTGCTGTTCAGTCTTATATAACACAGTACAGGAGATAACTGCGTGGTAAGGATTACTTAGCTTCTGATGTCCTGTTGTGAATTAATAGATAGATGATACTCAATTTGAAAAGTTACTCCAGTCATCCTCTGTGGTGATGCAAAGTGTGACCCAGGCCTGTTCAGAAATTCATAAGTAGACTGTATCATCTCATTCGGTTTCTTTTTGTGCCTCAAGATGATTGACATAGAGAAATGTACAAAGAAACAGAAGTCCCCGGCTTTCTACAGCTTATCCTAGGACTTAAAAACGTTTACTTTAACTGCCACGAGCAGTATATGTATATTTACATGGAATCACAGAATAGAATCATAGAAACATTAAGGTTGGAAAAGACCTCCAAGATCATCTGGTCCAACCATCCCCCTACCACCACTATCACCCACTAAACCATGTCCCTAAGCACCAGGTCCAACCTTTCCTCTTAAATACTCCCACAATGGTGTACCACTTCCCTTGGCAACCTGTTTCAATGCCTAACTGCTATTTTTGAGAAGAAATGTCTCCTAAATTCCAACCTCAGCCTCCCCTGGCACAACTTGAGGCCATTCCCTCTTGTCCTATTGCTAGTTATCTGCGAGAAGAGGCTGACCCCCAGCTTCCCACACCTTCCTTTAAGGTAGTTGTAGAGAGCAATAAGGTCTTCCCTGAGCCTCCTCTTCTCCAAATAAACAACCACACTCCTTACCCACTCCTCATAAGAATATATATACCGTATAATAGCATCACTTGGGTCTTACCCAATTGTTCACTACAAAGAATCATTCTTTGAATTTCCTGAGTGCCATTTCCCACAGAATGCCAAGGCACTTTGCAAATGCTATGTTACTGGTAAGTATTTTCATCTCCCTTTTGCAGAAAGAGAACTGAAGCACAGATCAACTAAGTGATTCACCAAAGTGTTTCTCAGTCTGAGTCTGAGATGTGGCTGAGAACAGAAACTGGCACTAGGTTGTTTCGGTTTGTCCCGGCAGGCAGCTAAGCACCACACAGCAATTCACTCACCCTCTCCTCAGACAGCGTGGGATGGGGGAGAGAATCAGGAAAAAGAAAGTAAAAGCATTGTGGGTTGAGACAGATAGTTTAATAAGACAGAAAAGAAATAGAAATAGAAATGATAATAGTAGTAGTAGTAGAAATAATAATAATAATATGTACAAAGCAAGCGATGTGCAATGCAACTGCTCACCACCTGCTGACTAATGCCCAGGCTGTCCCCAGGCAGCCTCTCCCATCCCCCCGGCCAGTCTTCCATATTAATTGTTCAGCATGATGTTTTATGGTACGGAATATCCCTTTGGCCAGCTGTTCTGGGTCTGTCCCCTCCCAGCTCCTCGTGAGCCCCCAGCCTCCTTGCCTGCGGGGTGGTGTGAGAAGCTGAAAGGTTCTGGGCTTAATGCAAGCACTGCTCTGCAACAATTAAAACATCAGCGTGTTATCAACATTATTCTCATCATCCTAAATCCAAAGCACAGCACGATACCAGCCACTAATTAATTAATAATAAGAAAGGTACCCCATTTAATTGTTAATATTAAATGAGTCCTACTCCAAGCCTAGAAAATGAGGCTGTGATATTCTGTTCTTCTTGAATCTGCCCTCTGTAGGAATTTCCTCTGTGCCATTTCTTCACATTCACAGGATCAGCACAGAGGCAGCATTTACATATGGGTAGAATTTATTGAGAATCCTCTTGTAAAACAGAAAGAGGCTGAAAGCACCTTTTTGAAACAGATACCGTACTTCATTGTTATCCAGGACATATCTGAATATTTGTAAAAACTTGCAAAATGAAACAGGCAACAAGAAACTACCATGTTCCTAGGATGTGTAAACATAAACAGAAACAGAAAGCCAGAAAGAAAGGCGCTTGTCGCTAGGCAGCAGATCTAACAATACCACGGCAGCACTGCAATGCTTGTCTGTGAAAGCAAAGAAGTTACATTCATTCCAGAATAGATTTTGTTTTGTTTTGTTTTTGTTTGCTGACTCTCTATTTCCCTAACAAGGAGTGGTAGGGTAAATTCACCCCGATTCAGAGTGCTAATGGAAAAACGTTAACAGATGTGAAAGTTTAAGCGTGAAATATTCTGTCAATGTATCCGTGACACACTTCATTCTGCCTGTGCATATACGTAGATGCACACAAGCAAAGCTGATACCACGTATGAGAGAAAGGGCAGATTTCTATCAGGAAAATGATGGAGTTTATTTTGACTATGCATTTATGTCCTGTGGTGGCTCTTGGCAGAGTCTTAGCTCAATGAAGATCCACAGAAAGGCTGCACTTTAAACTTTCCCTCATGCAGGCTTGCCCCCAGTGCTTTAATTTGGGCCTGGGAATCCTGAGGCAAAACTTGAAATTCATCCCATTTTTCCTTGAAGCTTTTGGTTTCACAAAGAATTTGCAAATTTCACAAGGGCAGGCCTGTTCAACAGTGGTACTGGAATTATGATGCTCAACAACGACAACAAAAATCTACACCAGTCTATACCAGTTGCAATTAGTGCAAATTTTATAGGAGTCTGCTTAAATATCATTCACAAATCAACCCAGAAAAGACAGGAAGCTGCTGACCCTTTTATAACAAATGCCTTGAAAAATTTTAGTGGTATATATGGCATCTTATTTCAAGAAAAACTCTGTGCTCCCCGTGGAAGCTTGCATGAATTAAGCTTTCCCAAAGACTGTCTTACTTAGCTGGACATTTTCTTGGAAAACTTTAGTGGAAATGATTCAGCCACCTCAGTAATCAAGGCAGGGAAAAGCATTTTGTTTTAATCACCCTTGTAGCCAAAGATGAAACACAGCGGTGCCAAATGGTTTTGTCCCTTCTTGAAGCTTCCAGATTTGGTAGAATTTTAAAAACTTGGAAAAAAAATCTCAGCTCACACATGTTCATTATGGATTAACTTGCTACACTTTGGCTCCCAAAGTCTCATTTCTTTTGTTGTCAGCAAAAATGCCTGGAATCCAGAGACATGTTTCTCATCCCTCTGCACTTCTGGTTTCTTTAGAGTATGATCTCGTAGCAGTTTAAACCCTCCTTAATGAAGGGCTGTTTTGGGCTCTTGCTTGTCTCCTCTTTGCCCAACACAGCAATGTGTTTCTGACTGCTTGACGTCAGTACTTACAGTCACATAACCAGTGGTTGGATTTTTTTATTTATTTATTTTTGTTTCTTTTGGCTAGTTCAGCTCCTCATCATCCAGTGGAAAGAAATGCAGTGCTGACAAAAAAGAGGTGACAAAAGTGTGTGGCCGGAGGTTGGGAAGAAAGGGAGAACAGTACCAGCCCCAGCTCAGATGGGTTTCAACTGTTCTGGAGTCGTCTCTGAGACTGTGAGAGTTTACTGCTGTTTTTTCTCCTGCTGACGTGGGAGAAGCAGCAGTAGGTGTGAAGTTCTGACCCCATTAAAAACCCATGTGGGTGTTAACTTAGCATTTTGTTTGTTTGTTTGTTTATTAGAGGGGTGATTTTAATAACTAGTGCAACTACATAAAAAGATCTACGTTGAAGGGACAGTGAAAGACTGAAATCAGAATTGTTGGTCAAAGTGTGTGCTCTTAAACATGCAAAGTGGCGTATAGCAGTCAGTAATCTGAAAGATCAGTTCTAAAAATATCAAGTTGGTCTTCCTTATTAGTCTTTTCTCCTGTTACCTCTGAGAACTATCATGAAAACAACTCAGCGAATATTTATTAAGCACTTGAATTGTAAAAAGGAACCCAAAAAAATGTACTTTCAGAGCAGGGATTGGAATAGTTTATGGAGAGTAAGGCTCTAAGCCCCCGCTGAGAAATACAGATAAATCAAAATACTGAATAGCTGCTCATGAGTTCAGTGTTTTTTGTTTTTTTTTTTTTTTTTACTGAATGAGGCAATAGAATAAATCCTTAGGGAGGGGGAGAAAAAGTAGTAAATGTGCAATATACTTGTCAATGGTTGGAGCTAGATGCCTGAACAGAAAAGGGGAAAAATTAGCGTTGCAGGTGTAGCTTTACTTCTGTCATCTTTTCTCTTCTGATCACTATAAAATATTCATGGAGGGATTTCTTTGTGTGCAGCATGAATGTGAAATACAGGAGCAAAACCATCAAAATTTCTGTTAGCTCATTAAGCAAATAATATGTTTAGCAGCACATCACACATACAAAATCCATGACTCACCATATGGGTTTATTAGAAGGCCAGCTTGGAACATGAAATTCATACAGGGGGAATACAGCTGGAGGCTTTTCAGTCCTTTAAAGTATAAAAGCCAAACTGGTTCCATCTCATTTAAATGTGTACGACTGATCATTGGATCCCTTCCAGCATTCCTCGCAGTCACTAATGCATAACACTCTCTAACTAATAACATCTGGATAGGGGGATTAAAAGAGAATGTCTTGCAAGAGACTGGGGATGTGTGCAGGGAAGTGAAGCAGCAGAGAGATTAGCTGACTCAGAAAAAGACGATGAATGTGATTTTCATTAATGGCTCTTGGGAAAACACCAGTTTCTGTAGCTTAAGATATTTCTGTAAAGAGAAAGAGAAAAGGAAAAGATGCTTTCAATTTTGTGGCTTTAAGGCTGCTATCACATTTGGCCAAATCTGAGGAAACTAAGCAAGTGTGTCTTACAGAAAAATACTCCATTTACACAGGGCCTCACTCTCTGCTTCTTATATGGACAGATTTTCAGGAGGTTCAACAGCAATTTTGCTAGAGCAGAGAAGTATGGACTCTATTGCCTAAGAATGGAAAATACTTTCTATACAATACATGATGAACCTTAGATGCTTAGAAAAATGTTTCTTTAGCTGCCTTGGCATGCTGCTTTGTCATCAGCAGCATAGAAAAACACTCTTAAGTCATTAATTGTCTTCAAACCTGTCTTCCTGTGGGACAGCATTTGCTGCATGTCCCAATAAAACAGTTTAGCGCATTAGTCATTTCCATGCCTATTCTTGATGAAGGACTTTGAAGTATGTTTCAGCTCAATTTCAACCACTGGTAGCTGCCAGGCTTTGCTATTCTGTTGAAGAAACTTCCTTAAACTTTCCAATATGAAATCAATCTGAGGAAGTAACTGAGGAAGTAACAGGCCTGAAACGTGCACTGCCAAGTCTTCACGTCATCCAACATGGACTGATAAATAGGGGAAGATTTAGGGAAATTGGAAGATTTAGGGAAGAGGGGGATGGAAACTCCCTTAATTCTCTTCCCAGCTGCATGATAAGGCAATTGAAAAGACACAGGGTAGAAGAAATGTCAGCTTCTGGTATTATTGTTTACAAAACAAAGATGTTGACATTTTAGTTGTATATAATTTGGTGTTTCTATTTTTGTTGTTTGTTTTTTAAAATACATTAAAAGGAGAATTTAATGACAGGAACACTTGAAAATCTGTTACTCTCACACTTGCAACAATATTGTTATTTGCCTGACCCAGCAACTTACATAATTTCTTCTGCTATCCATATTTTGTTTTTACCATGACATGCACCCTCACTTGTATCAATTCAAGAAGATACCAAGAAGAAGGGAGAGCACTGTTTGCCTTGTACTTAACAACATGTACTGCGTACGCATTACCAGTTTAACACAACTAAAGATACAAACTACAACAAAGAAATTATTTCCTATTTAAGTCAAATGTATGAATTCCCTTCTCACCATTCATTCAAACACTTTTCTTTGAATGGCAGTCTCAGGACAAGTGGTTACACTGTTGAGGATGATTTTCTAGTAGCATTTGATGACTGCTATAAACTGTTTTTTCAGAGACTGCAAGGCTGAACCAACCTGACACAACAGCATATTCTGAAATCATTTTCCCAGAATCGCTGTCATTATATACACAGTCAGAGTGACTTGTTGAACACTTGTAGTGATTACTCCCTTGAGGCTTGTTCATGTGATGAAACCTTACAGGGAACAATTATAGTCTGACTTTTCCAACCTGCTACCGGAACAAAAATGTCCTTTCTTTGGGAAATCACAAAAGTAGCAAACCATGAGCTTAAATGCAATCAAAGTGAAAATTATCTAACTGTTGATACAACTGGCTAAAACTTACCTGAGCTATCCTAAAGATGGTTGCCAAGGAGGAAACCAAACCATGGTGGTCATTGCAGCATGAAACTACATGCCGATCTGAGGCACAGTGGAGGACTGAACAACGTAGCCCATTCCCTCATGCCAGTTGACCCTTCACAACTACAACCACAGTTCAGTTCTCTAAGCCAGCTGTCAGTTATCAAAGACATGGAAGGAACTTTGCTCATTGTTTTTATTAACATGTAGGACTTTGACTTTTAACATGAGTTTTCTAATGTTACTTTATTTTTGTCTCCTTCAGCTACCAACAGGAGGTCCACAGAAATTTCCTGCCCTCCAAAGTCCATCTCTGAGGCAGAGTTATCGAAAAAGAAAAGTATTAAGAAAACTAAAGGTGGAATTAAGGTATAAGTCTCTGTTTTGGGAATACTCCATGTTGTGAGAACTCAAAACAAAATTAGTGTTTACATATTTGTACTTATTTCAAAATAGAAGAAAAACATTTGCAAGCCCTCTGCAAAACATTTTTTACACTTCACACTGCAGTTTAAGTTACTAGATACCAGTGTTAAGATTTATGCTCATAAATGTGAGCAAACAGGTTACACTGAAGTAAAAATCACTTTCAGAGGATGAAAGGGGCAACGTAGAGAGACTGTCCAATGATGATACATTAAAAGTACCCTCCTTTATTATAGCACGAGCTATTTTGTTTCCCAAACTGAAATTTTATTCTAACTCATATGAAAGGTGTGTTATATTCAAGGTTTTAAAAAGTTATACAGTTTTCTTCATTGAAACATTTTCTAAGGTCATTCTATACCCAAAGGAGGAAAAATTAAACATTTAATACTTAGTATAAACAACCATCATTAACAACAAAATTCCATTGCTAACTGTTATTGCATGAGCAAGTAAGATTCAGGGAAATGCATTTTACTTTTGTGTCTCTGTGATGAGATTTGTTGCATCATTGTTTCTGCAGCAGAATTCTGCTCTGGACACTTTGAACATCCTTATCTGTCCTTCCCTAATCCCAAACCCTACAGCATTTAAGAGACTTGTCCTTACAGCAGAGAGTATTTTTATTTGAGCTGCAGCTTACCTGGGGATAATGAGATATGACAAAATAGCCCTCCTTGCTTATTTTAGATTATTTTAGAACTGGGGACAGAAGAATCCAGAAACTTCATTTATCTGCATTCTTTATAACTAAAATGAACTGCAGCTGCATCCTGAAACCTTTCGTTTGTCCAAGCTCACAGAAATGACCACTTCTAGAGACCAGACTTTTTCTCTCTGTTAAATTTAACACCTCCCTTGCCATATTTTAAATGCTTGTTTTTAAGACCATGTAAATACACCTTTACAAAGGGATAGAACCACAAAAGTTGTATTCTGAATGTTTCTATACTACAAATATTTCATAACTTTGCCAACATCCATTTTAGTTATGTTAGTCAAAAGACAAAATCAAAACATACACAGTGCCACTTAATCTTTTAAATGACATTCCTTTGCTGTAATTTTCTTGTCTTCCTGGCATGAAGATTCAAATTATTAGGGCAGCATATCATTAGAATAGCTTATCAAAATAGTCTACAACACACCAATTCATTTCAAGAGTTATTCTTGATTTTCAATTTGCACATCTAAGTCAATTATTTTTAACTTGTCAAATGACATACTAGACTGGTGATGTGTTTATTCTTGTAAAGAATTAAAGTTCTCTAAATAAAAGTATCAGTGATTAAGTATTTTCACATTGCGTGTGCTTTCCATTCAGATCGAAGTGATGCATGAAGCTAGTCAAGGCGGATCTAGCAGAGTCTTGGTGATGAGCGAAAGCGATGAGAACCTGTCAACAAGGAGGAGGTAAGGCTGTGTGCTTTAGTCATTATGTGACATAACTCCTTAGAATAAGCCTTGCTCATCTTTAGTAGTAAAGATCATCTCATGTTCAGGAAACTCTCATTTGACTATATGGCTTTGATACGCTTCTATTTTCAAGTAGAAGTTATAATAATCTTGTCTCCCTTTCTAGAAGGTCTTGAGAAAGATCATACTAATTACATAACCTGAACAACCAAATGCTCAAGTCATTTAGTTTAACAAGAAATACCAAGCAAACCCAGTTTTAGTTGAACTTCAGTGTCTCTAGGCCAAAGAGAATAATTTAAACCAAACTGCAACAAGCCCACAAAACAAACCCCACGCTCCTTACTACCTCTATTTCTTTTGTTTTCTTCAGTATAATTTAAATAATTTATATGTACATTATGCCTGTCTCACACGGGTACACACTAAAATTGCTTGATACAGGAGTACAAGTCTGAAAACGCTAGCTTGTTAATACACTGTGCTATACAAGTCAGAGACAGCAAAATGCAACGTCTCAATTTGTAGTAGGTTCAAAATAATCTTATATACTATGAAAATAATGTCTATCACTGGTTACCAAACTATCAGCTAGTTTTCAGAAAGTACAAGATGTGATTTGAATAGAATTTATTTAGGTAGATACACATCTCTACAGGAATGATTGCTTCAAGAGAACATATGATTTTGGAAGTTAATATTAACACTAGGTGAAGCTTCTAGTACTAGGCAGTTTTCCCACAACTTTAAACCTGGGAAATTGCTAAACAAATTTTTAAACTGCCTCCTTTCTTGAGGATTCCAATTTCACATTTCCACCCCCTCCCCCTCAAAAGATCTGGAGGTTTGGTTCACAGTAGAACAGACAGGAAGGATAGAAAAGAAGAAAAAAATCAGTTCAAAAGTCCTCTAAGAGAGTACTCAGAATGGCAATTAAGCATCAGAGCTGAGCTTGTCAGCTACAAAGAAAGCAACAAGAAACTCACCAGCTTTATTTTTTTTTTAAAAAAAGAAACAAGTCTGTTTATTCAAATCAAGTTTTACAAAACAATTGTATTTTGTGGTAAAGAGCAAAATTTAAGAATAAATATTGAACACTTTGTATAAAAATTAGTAATACCAAAGGGAAACTGATGCAAATCAAACAAACAGGTAAAAACAACTTTAGCATTAAACATGCTGTGCAACAATGTCATACTCTTAATGAGGCATAACCGACCATTCAGGCTGATAGTTTTATTTGTAGAAGTAAAACCTGACAGCCCAGCATTGGAGCACCAAGACAATTGTTAAAAGAGGTTCCAGTTAGAGGTGTCAAATGTTAAATCAGTGTTTAGAACCAGAGAGTAAGTTTTCTAACTTTTTTTTTTTTGAAAGGAGTGCCTTCATGCTTTCATTTTTATTCATAAGCAACTTCCTTTTTCACTGCAGCAGAAGAAAATGCATGCTACAAACATCAAGGTCCTTTTAAGTCTAAGAAACAATTCAAACTAAACTCAAACTAGCTATAAAACAAAAGTATTTCAATGGTCAAGTGACTTTCACATAATGGCAAACTGCATTTAAGCAGTGTTTTAGATGTTAGCTAAATCACTAACCTATAGAAGTTTAATCTACTTCCAACTCAGCTTGTGCAAGTGAAAACATTGCTGGAAGAAATTGTAGTCTTAGTAGTACACTTTGGTTATATAGAGCGTATGTAGACCCTCTTTCCCCTAAAGTGAATGGGGTGACTTTTTCAGTAGTGCAGTTTTGCTGTGCACCTCACTAATTTAAACAGCCCACAACAGGTCAGAGATCTGATGAAGTCTTTCTTTCAAGTACTGAATAATACTTCCTCTGTGTGTACCACCACACCCCTGCTAGAGCCAACAGATTGTAGAGCTAGGTTTGATGGTTTGCTGTGTTCTATTTCTTGTTTGTTTTAAAGCATCCTCAGATTATAATCTGAGTTTGTTTAGGCAAGGACATGGAGTTCCTGAACTACAGCTGTTGCAGTCTATTTTAATGCTGACAAGTGAGTTATTTGTAGGCTCTATATACCCAACATTTGAGTCCAGTTGGGGTTTTCCCCCCCCCCCCCCCTCCTGGAAATCTACTTAGAGTTACATATTCCAATTAGTTCCAGTAGTTACCTAACATCCATCTGAAATAGCAGATTAAAGAACAGACAGCAAGCTCAGTGCTGTTTGTCTATGCTAGCATATACCATTAGCCATTCAAACCCTTAAAACAAAAGCAGCAGCATTTAAACAAAGTTTACCAGTTGCAGTTTAAAACTGCTGTGCCACATACATTGTTGTAAAGTTAGAAGACAAATTAAGTAATTCACTGCTCCACGTTGCTGTAGCAGCAAGAAACTTCAGGCAGAAGAGAAAAGGCTAGCTTTAGACATCTTAAAAAGCAAGTAGCATTGCTCCTGTATATAGTACATTTCTGGCAGATCCAAGAACTGTGACAGATAGTTGGTAATTTGCAAGCTTTGGGGTTATTTGTTATTGCTGTGCTGATAAACGTGACTCATTCAATCTTTCACAAGTAGTTTCATGACACTACCCACGCAAGAACTCATTCCAGCATCAAACCAGTTCACAAACAATATCTGACTGTACCTTGTGCAGTCTGTGTATCCACTCCAGGGAGAGCTACCACAGGCTTTGCAATTAGCAACTAAATAACCTGTACTGGAAACCTGTGAAGACACCATCAGTGAGATAATACAAGAAAAAACTGAAGAACCTTGTTTTTACAAAGTTTGTATGGCAGCGCAGTACAACTCATAACAACTGGAGTTTCAATACCACCTAGTTCTATCCAGATTTACAATGCACGGGTATTTTTGTTCCTCTACAGGTGATATTATTTAACTCTATTCAAGAGTTTTGTGGACACAGACTACCCTGAAGCTGTAAATAATCTCTTGTCTTTAGGAAAAACTTCAGGTTTAGTGATTTTCATTTGTGTACTGAGTTTGTGGTTCACCATCTCCCTGTCCCTTCACCGTGAAGTCAAAACCTCATGCAGAAAGTATTCTCCTTATTTAACAAATATAAGCAAGAAACTTTGCTCTTTCAAGTCAATAACAACTTCAACTATAAAATTCTAAAGGAATACAGCTATGACTTTTGCTTGCTTTTCACCTTTAGAACTATGAATATAGGACAACAGAAGAATTGTTAAAAGAAAATAGGCCTTAAATGCATTTAGTCTATTTGCTTATTAGAGATTGGATTAATTATATAGCTTCATTTTTTCAGAAGGCAGAGATTAACACAACCAGTTGTGTAAGTAACATTAGATTTTCTTCCTTTAAAGTTTACTTCTGATCTAAAGGGAGCTCATTTGTTACTTAAAAGAACCAAGTCAGAGGGCACTCAAACAGTTTTTCTTATGTCAAAAACTTAGAGAGCTTTGAGGAAAGAATTGTAGCAGGTCTTTACTTCTAGTACTGTTTGCTTCATGGAAAGTATACCTGGACCTGCATAATTGACAAACAGAAGTGCTGAGTACTTGTAACCAATTTACTTTGTTTTAGACTAGTACAATAGTCTCATTGACTCAGTTCTATTTTCCTCTTATTTTGAGAGGTCTACTCCATTTTGATATAGTTTTTTTTTTCTTTTTTGAACCATATGCCTTAGCTCACATTGCTTTTTAAAAAAAGCTTCAAGATGTACTGAATCAAGTTCAAAGTAAATGATATTTTCACCAAGCACTTCAAATTCTAGAAGCCCGTTATAGTTCATTTAATGATCATACAATCCAGACTCATCCTGTGAAGCATGTAAAAACAAAAAACACAACAGGCTACAATGTAGAAAGTTGCAGTACAATAGGAGAGCTATTCCAATAACAGTTTCTGAACAGAACTTGGGACCATCCTCCTCCCCCTCCCCTGGTTCATCCCCCAACCCCCACCCCAGCTATTCACATTTAAGTTCTACCCTCTTTTCACACTTACACATATTTTGAATAAACAGCTAAGAAGTTTGTTGTTCTGTTTTGGCTCAGTGGATCTTCAACACAGATATTCAAGTATTAAGAAAATGCAGCTGAACAGGGATATGTGTCCTCATAGAATAGTTTACAGAGAAGTACAATATTAACTATTCTGCAGTATACTCTACCCCAAAGCCCCGAGGAAATCTTTTTAACTTTGGGATCTGTAGCCTGCTTCCAGAGACGGTGAAGATCCTCTACATGTCCATGAGATGTCATCATTTTGTTGTAAATGCAGGGATGATATGGAGCCTTTCCTTCCCCAGAAAAAAATACATGGTATTGTGGTACAATTCCCATTTTATTGGCACAGAGGCCCATGAAGACATCGTCTATATAAAGACTTGTATTGAGAGTCAATGAAGCCTCGTATACTTTAGCTGCTACATCACTTGATATTACATATGCAGCTCCTGCTGTGTAGTCAGGATAAGAGGGCCACTGGTACATTTCATATGGAACATAGTATTTGCTAGTCTTGTCTCTTACGGGAGGGGATCCACGATGAACACGGCCAATCCAGAGGTCTTGAACACCCATTTGTGCTAGACTTTGGAGATAAGCAACAAGATTTGGCATATGGATAAATATATCATCATCTGCAGACATAATAAACCTGGCATGAGGACAGTAGGCATTCACCCAGCTAAACTGTAGAAGTAATTTAAGAGTAAGATTGTGAAAAGTATCCAAGAAATCTTGCTGAATCAAGTCATTGTATTTCTGGTCTTCCAAATATAGTTTTCTTTGCTGCAGATGATCTGAGGGTCGTCCTAAAGCAAACAGAGTTTTAATATTGGCATTAAGTTTAGACTGAACATATTTCTCATTACCCCAAGTTTGTCGAATCGCATTCCTCCGATGATGGTTTTCAGGAGAAGTCTTCACAAGCAACAGGAGAAGAACATCCTGCTGTTGACATTTTTCTTTGTGGTTGATCAAGTACTGGTAGCTTGATACTCTGTCCAGGTCTTCCCTGTTGACAGACAGGCTTTCAT